TTAGATTTTTTAGTAAAGCTTTTTTTTAGTTAAAGTAAAGCAATCAACAAATTTTTTGTCTGATTAATAATAATTATAATCATTTTACCCCAAAGTTTATTTTTGAAATAGACCATGATGAAAATGGGATTAATTAATATGATATCTTTAGATTCTCAAGATTTCATAGCTAATAGCAAAAAACGAAAAAATCTTACATATTTCAGATGGTATCAGTGACTGTGTTATATTTTTAAAAATAAATCAAATTTTAGGATAAACATTAGGAACGCATTCATTAGCCCCGATACTCAATCACCTCAATTTATTTATTTCATGATTTACGGCCATTGTAAAAACTGAAATTGTAAATAAATAGATATCTATATAAAGAATTCCTATGAAATATTTCGGGCGTAAGACGAAAATAAAGGCATTTGAATTATTATCGTAATAAATTCACGAAAAGGATAACTTTACTTTTTCTTTTGTAGGTCTTTCAGGAGAAAGGGCGGAACGCGTGCGAAAAAATAAATCTATACAGAAGCTCGTAAAAATTGGGGATGACGAATACGCTTTCGTATATCGTAGTGATAGCGGCACCAAAGAGATTAAATTCAAAAATGGTGTCGAATTCGACGAGCAAGTTGCAGAGGGAGTTTTTGTAAGTTTTTTTATTACTTTAACTTATTCATTACAGGTGTGCCAATCTTCAGAAGGAGTTTATGAGAAAAAAAGAAAGGAGGCCTGGTGGGTTAACACTGTTAGGGAACTCCACATGATAGTAAACTGTTTCATCCATTTACATTACAGAATCAACAGACCTATATTCTATTTCTGACCCTTCCCAGGACTTAAGCAGGATTTTATTAAAAGAAGTAGCACTGTTGGTTTTGGGCCTCAGTGTAGCACGTTTATAAAACCAAGCCAAAATTTCCTTTGTATACCTATTAAAAACATCAGGATACACTCTAGCTAGGTTTTCTCTCTCGCGCGCTCTAGGTCTGTTATAGTGAGTCACTGTTGTGGCCACCCAAGAAAATGTCTATAATTTTTCCTTAAATTCGGAATAATCTCCGTTCTCTATTTTATATCTCACTCAGTGAACACTAAGTGAGCACTTTCGGACAACTTGAGCTATGTTACACTATTTAAATATATTTAGTATGTGGAATTCAATTCGGGTGATATTTTGGGCGGGAGTTTAAACGTAGCGTACGCCGTTTTACCATAGGTCTCATACACACTTGCGTCTCCTATTTTACCCCTTAATGGGATGAATTTCGAAAAATGCTTAAACATGTATTTATTTAATTGTATTGAAGAGCATTAATACAAAGTTTCAAGTAATTCCGGTCATAAATATTTTTTGGGTTGTATTATAACGTGTTTTCCCGTGAGAATGAGATGATCTCCCGCGATGAAAAGTAGCCTATGTCATTCTTCAGTTCTTCGGCTATCTCGATACAAATCATGCCAATCCGGCGTCCGTCCGTACGTATTGTTTTATTTTAAATGTAGGTCTCATACAAACTTTCGTTACCTATTTTACCCCCTTATTCTGATCATAAATATTTTTTTGGGTTGTATTATAATGTGTTTTGTCATGGGAATGAGATGATCTCCCGCGATAAAAAGTAGCCTGCCTATGTCAGTCTCCTGCTCTTCAACTATCGTTACACAAAAATCACGCCAATCCGTCACTCTGTCTCGACTTGAAAGAAAGACAAACAAACAAATAAACATACAAACAAACACACTTTCACATTTATAATATTAGTATGGATATACGTTTTTTTTTGAAATTGGACGATCCTAAATTTGCATGAATGTGTGTAACATACATAATTTTTGACAGTTGTTATATAATATAATAAGAAACGGATACACAGATTTGGATGAATTTTTGTATACAGAAGATAGATTATTACTTTTTTTTAAGGCTGGGAAATGCATTTTCGCGTATTAGCTGTATACATACAGGTGGTTGTGGGACTCACCGGCTAGAAAAGCCAGTACTACCTATTAAAACCCAACGGAACCTGCCTCGTGTTCATGAGGCGTCTCGAGTTCGCTTACGCGCTCAACTACGACAGCTCGACAGTAAGCCTGCCGAGGCCGACTACAACTAGCATGGGGTTACACCAACGGTCTTCTCTGTTATCAGACCTTAACTACCTGGAGCACCCGCATAGCACATCGCTCACCGAAGTGTGCCCCCTTCCATTGTGTTTTCAAGAAGTTAAATATACAATAATTAAGAATAATGGTACCTATATTTTTTCTTAATTTTAGGCAAAGTCCATCTTTACAGTGGACGGTAATGTAGTAATTCAACAACTGAAATTTGAAGATGGGAAAACTCTCACTTACAAAAGTGAATTTACCAAAGACTCGCTTGTAGTGGTAAGATATTCTAGCATATTTTTTAAATAAGTAAGTATAATTAAAGAAATTCTCCCCAAGAAATTCTTGAAATGTTAGTAAAAATCTTATGAAAATATTATATAAAACAATTCATATAATTAAGTTCAACTTAAATTTTGTACTTAGATAAATAGAAATAATTAGTAAGTAAACTATAGATGTTAAGTCATCAAGTGGTTTTATGTTTAATATATCTACTTGTCTTTATTCAAATCAAAAATATTTTCCAACTCTTATATTGAAATGAATACTAAAATATTTTTTTTTTCTAGACGATAACATCAAGCTCTTGGGATGGAAGCGCAAAAAGATACTACGTTCCAGTTTAAATTTAGTTACTATTATTAATCTTATTATTTTTTGTATTTATTAAAATACAATTACACTTATAAGAGTCTTTTATTAATTAACTCCACCTGCATTTGTATTTAGACCACAATCAGAAAACGCGGCAAACTTCATTATTTCACGTATGTACTCGTATGAACATTGAATATATATTTCCGCTGATAGATCTGATCATGAAACACAGTTTTCTACTTTAGGTGTTAGGCTGTGTGCATTTGTTACCATTGTGTTACTTGAATAAAGTCTCTTTTTTGCACCCGCTTTTTACAAGAAACCTTAAACATTAACATACCAGTATCTATACATTTACTTGAACGATTGTTATGGAATTAAGAGTAGTAATAATCTAGTGTGCGCAAAAAGTGTACTCTCTATAAACCTTTAACTTTCGTGGTGCATAATAACAAATATTCGTGAAATGGTCACCCATTTAACATAATCAGTGAGGGATCCATCAGATCCGACTGCTGTAAAGCAGTCGGATCTGATGGATCACGTAAGTGCTCTTTTAGGCACCGCGATGTGTTATTAAAAATTTATTGCAAAATAATAGGAGCATCTTAATTGCCTCTATTTATCGTAAATACTACCCACCAGACCATAATTCCACCGCTTTCAGGTAAGCGCCATCTATCGCCAATGCAAGCAAAACGAAATAATCCAAAGAATTATTTTCCGAAAATAACGTATGACTCCGTGAACTCGTGGCTGATATGTCTAAGCCGAAATTGTCGAATCCGTCCGTCGTCCGAGCATAACGATATGAAGGGACCATTTCCGAGGAAAAATTTCCTATGTTTCTCCCAGGGTCTCAAACTATCCCCATACCAAATTTCGTCTAAGTATGTTCAGCCGATTAAGCGTGAAGGTAACAGACAGAGTTACTTTCGCATTTATATATTAGTATGAATTAGTATAGATAAAGTAACGTGTTGCCTAGCCGCCAATTTTCTATATTATCACAGGCAACACAATATGTCACAGGCATATCGTAAGTTTCATAATTATACAAACGGTCTTCGACTCTGTTGGCGGCTGTAGCCCATGTAGCGCCTGTGTGCAATCAATACCCTGGCGTCCTCTAGTATCCATTTTAAATGAATTTATTTTTTCTATTTTAAGCAGGTAATTTGTAAGAAGAGTTTTTTTTAATAACATATTCGATAAAAACTTTTTATTTTAAAATAATAACTTATTGTTGATTTTATTTGAAAACCGCTCGACTGATTTCGGTAAAATTTAAATGGGACCACCTGGGAAGTATACCCTTCGAAACATTTCCAAATCGGTTCAGGCGTCTTCGAGTACTCGGTGAACATACATAAAAAAAATCCGACGAATTGAAAACGTCCTTCTTTTTGAAAGTCGTTTAAAAAAAGACCCTAACGTAAAAGCTAAAACGGGAGTTACATTTAGGTGTCGAAAAGGATTTTTCGAAATTCGCCCCCTAAGTGGGTAAAATAGGGGATGAAAGTTTGTATGAAAGTCTGTAATTAATATGTAAAAAAGTACAAAAAAAAATCATCTGTAGACGATTTAAGAGTTTTAAAATCACTACATATATGGTACACATATGGCCTTAAATATAAAGATTGTGATTTCGCCAATTTCTTCAGCTTTTGTCTTTTGGGAACAAATGATATCCATTTTCTTTGCATCCTCGCACTGCAGAATTTGTCGTTTTAATTAAATTTTAAATAAAATGAAAAAAAAATATCCATCCACACTATTGAGCTTTATAATATACTGAAGGTCATAGTGATCGCAACATCTGACGGGAGAAAAAAGCAAAAATTCTTCCCCATTAGGTTAAGACGCATCGTTAATTTGCCTTAGCGTTTCAGAAGCTGGCAAAGTATTTCCACATGCGTCCAACCATGTGCGAGCGTTCACACTTCACATAGTTCGGATTTGTGATATAACAAACACACGAAATAATGAAGATCCATCTTAAACTTCAATAGATGGCGCTAAACGGATTTGGATTGCAAATCCATATCTAGTATTATATGATGTGTCTCACTGTTGTAGCAATATACTCTATGGTCCATATCATTCTATTATTTCTAACCAAGTAGGCATTATATTATGTACATTAAATAATAATAAACTAAATTATTATTTCAGTTTTATTTTTACTATACATGAAACTAAGAAACTATGTATACAATAATTTAGGTTTTTATCACTGAAATTTAAATATAGTCTGTAATTCTGTATTAGTAGGTACTGTTTTTTTTAATTTAAATTGGTAAACAACTATTTGTTAAATATAAGTCACAAAACACACAAGTTGGCTTTTGGTCAATTAATTCAGCTCTAGCCGTTGCACCACAACTATTACAAACAATATAATTATCACTATCAATAAGAGTAAAAGTAAGAGAACAAAACATATTTAAATGTCCTGACTGACAAGTAAAGTCTGTAAGTTCTTCATCACAACCTTGGCATATATATTTAATATCTGTACTCGGTAAACTAAGAATACTTTCTTGAACATAATCTGTTGGATTTTTTGAATAAGTCTTACAATAAAAGTATAAATATTTTCTACTACAATCAAAGCACTCTTTATCGAAATCGATTAATTGATTATCTTTTTCATGTTTTTCATTAATATTTTTGAGAACTTTTACAGCTTGAGATACAAGTATTTTGTCCTTTATAATGTCAAGAGATGTTTCTGGCAATATTTCTTTTTTGTTTGAAGTCATTATTTTTTCTAAATTATGATAAAAAATAAGACAAATTAAATAGCATTTTAATTTATATGTGTCTCGGTTGCCATCTTCTATTAGTTTATTATAATCCAATTTTGGTAGATTTTTTGCTTTTATAACCTTGCACCTGAACAATTCAATATTGTCCCATATCTGAGTAAGCTTTTTTGAAGGATTGTTTATAATATTTGTTGCTAGATTTTCTAGATCAGATTCATAACATAAGAAGACTATATCAACTTTAAGTGTTTTTTCTCTATATAAAAGTTTTCTGTCTATTAATGTAAGTGCCAGTAATGCATTGTTGTTAGAAAAACTAAGTCCATAAACTTCATAAGTTGAAAAAGCATCTTTAATATCTAATGGTTTTATCATTACTTCTAATGCATCATTATTAATTGAAAAAAATATTTTATAAATCTTCATATTAACTGTGCACACATAAAATATATTTTGTTTTTTAGTAATGGAAGTTATTTTATAATCATTTATGTTATCTACATATTGAGATAATAATTTCAATGATTTGTCAAATAGCTGCATTATTAAATGTCTATTTTTATTAAAGAACAAAATTAAATTTCCATTTTCTTTAGTATATTCTAGATATGTGACTATCATTTTATCTTTATGTGGCCACACCACATGTTCTCTTAATAATGTAACTTTTTCTTCTACTATTTCACATTCATTAATCATAACTTCTCCATATTCATTAGAAAAGAGTAAAAGAAAACTTTTGCAATTTAAAGGAATCCAAAGAATTGTTACAATTTCTGAATCATTCATATTTTTTACTTTACCACAAAATTTTGTTTGAAAATTATTATCATCTTGTTTTATGCACCAAATTAAAATTTCGCCAGATTTTTGTGCAGTTGCTAAGTAACACGAGTTATCAGGATTTAATATTGGTGCCCAGCAAATTGTTGATGTCAGTATACTGTATACAACCTTTTGTAACTCTGTGAACTCTCTAGGACAATTGTAAAGGTTATTGAATTCCATTTCCAAATACGCTTTCATTTCTTTTGAGAAATTCATTACACTTGCCCAAACTTGTCGTTTAGGTCCAAATAACTCCACATTTCCAACACTGTTGACAGTTGCCAATAAACTTTCATTATTATTTATAAGATTATCTGGAGACCATTTGTATGCTACAATGTTTGTCATTTCTTGGGTTAATTGATTGTTATGCGGCCAAAAAGCAGGATTTGTAATCATTTCCATAAGTTCCAAATTTTTTAATCCATGTGCTGCATAATTTACAAGATAATTTTTTGGCAACGGACTTTCATAGCTCGCAGTAATGGTAAATTCTCTAAAGTCGATTGTTTTCTCTAAAGATTGTAAATTGTAACAAAAGTCCATTAAATGTACGTACTTGTTTCCACGAATAGTAAAAACTGAATTATGCCAAGATACAAGACAATCTTCATGCTTGCTTACGTTAATTCGTTTTCTATAAATTTCGTGTAGCATCTTTCACTTTTCTTATGTTATTATTTTAATAATTTAAATTGTAATCCATCAATGGATTAAAATTTAACAACAACAGAATGTACACATTTTTATGACATTGACAATTTTATAACGAATTGCCAGTTGCCACTTGCCACTTGCCATACATTATTACGTTCTCGCTCTTCATATTCAATGGGGAAGAATTTGGCCTTTTCACCTATTATATGTCGAGGTTACTATAGTCCTCAGTATATTGTAAAGCTCTATATCATCTAGGATGAATTTTTAGTCATTTTATTTAAAATTTAATTAAAATGACAAACTGTGCAGTGTCAGGATCTAAAGAAAATGGGTGTCATTTATTCCCGAAAGATAAAAAATGAAGAAATTGTGGGCTAAAGTAATAAGACGACCAAAATTGGTAAAATCACAATCACAAATTTAAGGTATGTGGACATCATTTTAAAAAAAGTGATTTTACAACTCTTAAATCGTCTACAGGTGTTTTTTTTTTGTATTTTTTGTTCTTTATATATATTAATTACAGAATTTCATACAAACCCTTCATTCATCCCCCGTTTTACCCCCTTATGAAATTGAATTTCGAAAAATGGTAAAACAGGTATTTATTTCATTTCAAGTTTCAAATAATTCTGATCATAAATTATTTCTTTGCCCATATAAACTTTATTACAATACCCCCCTTACCCCTTTAAGAGATGAATTTCGAAAAAAAATATATATTTCCTATTTTTTACCACTTTTTGTGTATTTCACATTATGAATGACAGTTTTATACAATCTTTAATCCCTTATTTTACCCACTTATTTCGAATTTTTCGAAGAATTCTTTCATAATAATCTGTAATATTCTGGTAACTCAATCTTCAAAAGTCATAACAAAAGCACGTTGTTATCAATTAAGCATTAGCATAGGTGTGATACGATCAATAGCCTTCAAAGAATTCAATAATTAAAGTTATTATGTTTTATTATTGCTATTTATTATAATTGCTATACGTGTCTTACATTGTATGTAATGTTAAGAAGCATTACAAAAATTGACAATATTTGAAAATGGGTAAAAAACGATACAATGCAAAAGCTCGTCAAGTGGTTAAAACAAACATCGATGATTCTCAAACAAATGAGGTAAGTAATTTAATAAAAAATATGTGTTTAATTTTAATATAAACTAAATATTTTAAATAAGATTTGTTTTATAAGATTTCCAAAACCTCAATTTCGTAACGAGTTGTAACAATTATAACCTGAAAAATATTAATGTTTTTTATTTTTGTGCTAGATAAAAATAGATTTTGCATTAAATGAATATGGATCGTCGGACACAAGTAATTTACTGGCATTGCCTTCGAAGAAAAGAAGTACAAAAATAATAACTGATAAAAAAGAAAAGATAAAATTGTTGTCAAAGGCTCAAAGAAAAAGATTAGAAAAGATTGTTGATAAAAAGAAAAAGAAAGAAAATGTAAGTATTTACTAATTTTTATTTTTCTATATGTATAGTGTAAAAAAGTCTTATCTTATGGAGAATCGTCTTATGTCGGAAATAAGTTGAAAAAGTGTCCAGCGGTGAGCAGCAAATTGGAATTTAGAAACTCACTTTACTCACTAACAATTAAGCAGTTTTAAACGCAGTGAGGTGTGCTGTATTTAAAAAATTAATAACTCTGCTGACGAGAGTAGTTAATAAAACTGCAGTAATAAAAAACCTCAACTATTTACATAGTCCAAAGTCTTCTTTCCCTGTTTAATTCACTATTTTACGTATCTTATGTTTTAAATTCACCTACTTGTTTTCTGTGGCGCCACCAATTTAATTTGGTTTTTATACACAGAGATAGTCCTCCTCATCTCTATGCTCCATAGTCAAATTTGAAAATAATATGTTTTTAATTAGTCTTTGTTTCTTACTTTTACCTCAACTTATATCTAATGAAGTTCTTATATATTAAATTAAACAGTAACTCAGGTTTGTCCCTAGGGAAGCAGAAGCATAACTATGTCACCTCTATATGTGTATGAGTTTAACAATGTGTTTTTGGGGGGCTCGGGAATGACATACATTCCCTTGGTTCAAAGTTGCTTATTACTCTCTAGTCCTCCAATTATCTCCATATAAAAAATTGCATCAATCTTCTACTTCCATTTGAAGTGAAAGTAGGACAAACAATCACACATTTTATATAGTACTAGTGACTCACCCTCGCTTCGTTCGGGTTCGTCCCCTAGGTTGAGTCCCTATACAAATTTTTATCCCCATTTTCACCCCGTTAAGGGTTGATTTCCGGGATAAATTTCATCTAAATCGGTTCAGTAGATCTATAGATCTAGATATTACCCCCTACAACGCCACAAACTATCAAACTTTACCTCTATATAATATTAGTATAGATGAATTCTCATTTATTATATTAGTTTGAATTAAAACTAAGCTCAGGTAGTATATAAAATTTCAATGACTTTATAACACAAACAAGTATGATAAAACAGCTTATGATTTTTATAAATATAATTAATATTTTAGAGAGCTGCACTGTTGGAGTCCTTAGCTCAAGTTCAAGCAACTTCAGAAGAAGTAAAACAATTGACCACAATTTCAAGTGTCCAAACTTTGGGATTAAGAAAGCTAAATGAATATAAAGTGGAGGAAACACTACAAAATTCTACAGAACCTACAGAGCAGAAAAAATTTAGTAGTATAGCAGGTTAGTAGGGCTAAATAATTGTAAATTTTTAAGACAACTCTATGTTTTTTGTATTTTAAATAAAACTTTATTTTGTGTTGCTATGATTTTTAAATTGTGTAATTAGTAAACTAAGTTAGAAAATGTTATTGCGTGGACAAATTTTTGGAACATCTTCTTAATATTTATATGTATGTATAATTCTTCTGTATGTGTGTTTGTCACCTAACTCCTCATAAACGGCTAAACTGATTTAGATGAAATTTTGTGTGTACATTTCAATGGGTTCCTGGATGGTTTGAAAATACAATTGGATCTGGTAGGTGGCGCTGCAGTTGGTTTGTCATCAAATTATTATTACTTATAACAAAGCCAAATATTTTTTTTTAGTAGTTTGAATGTGGTCGAGGCCGTGGGTACTGCTAGTTGTCAATAATTTTTTTAGTCTTGATTGTCTTCTTATTTCTGTATATATTACTGTTATGTTTTACCTAACTGATAAATAATAAAATTTTAGGTGCAAAAAAACGATTAAGATTGCTTAGAATGGGGAATGTGGATGATGCGAAAAAGAAAAAGTATGATCCTAATGTGGTTGGCCTTGAAGATTCATCTGATGAGGATTCATCAGAGTCTGATGAGGAATCTGATGAGACAGAAATTAAAGACAATGAACACGGTGTAATGAAAGGTGAGGAGGAAAATATTGTAAATATTGAAAGTGAAGGAAAAAATAAAAAAGAAAATGGTGAGGTTCTTGCTAATACCAATAAGGATGATAAAAAGCAAAATAATGAGAAAAAGAATGATTCCCAGCAAGAACACAATAATAAAGAAGTCAATATAATTAAAAATAATAATAAAGCAGAGAATATAATAAAAAATAATATAAAACAAGGGAATATAATCAAACATACTAAAAAAGAAGAAAAGCAAGTTAAAAAACCTTTGCTTGAACATCCAACAATGCATGTAGATGTTAACAGGGATCCTAAAATCCAGGTAGCAAGGTTAAAGCTTCCAATTTTAGGCGAAGAGCAAAGAATAATGGAACTTGTTAATGAAAATGAGTTTTTAATTGTTGCCGGAGAAACTGGTGAGTTGTCAATTCTGATTTTTATCTTTTTTAATTTCTCAATAATATTGTTATCCATATTTATCAATATGTTACATATGATGTGTATGTGATTATTCCAGGAAAACCATGAAGTGTCAGCATAAATTTTATTACTATTGATTATCCCATTTTTGGTTCCCAACATCTACTAATACTTTACATAGTTACGGGAGAGACTGAATTTAAAATGTTAAATGATATGTCTATGCATTCTTGTTACTAAAATTAAAGAGTATAAACATACACACCTTAATTGAGATTATTGAATTTCGTTATGATGACATGTTTGGCTCAGTTTGTAATGACCCTTTTTTCTTTGCCTACCGTCGCGGTTTCGAGTCCAGCTGGGGGGATTTGTTTGTGTGATGGGCACGAATATTTGTACTCCAGTCATGAGTGTTTATACATATTTATAATATGTATGTATTTAAAGCTATATATACGTGTAGTGTATCAACTATCTGGTATCTATAACACAAGCCTCGTAGCTTACCATGGAATTAGATGGTGCTGTGTGTTAATGTCCCAACATATTATAGGGATAATAAATATTTTAGCATTTTTTAGGTAGCGGTAAAACCACACAATTGCCCCAATTCCTTTACGAAGCGGGTTATTCAGAGAGAAAGATGATAGCAGTAACGGAGCCTCGTAGAGTGGCCACCGTGGCCATGTCCAAACGTGTAGCATACGAGCTGGGCTTGACCAGCAAGGAGGTGTCATATTTGATGCGGTTTGAGGGAAATGTCACTAAAGATACGAAAATTAAGTTCATGACCGATGGTGAGTTTCTTTTAATATATTATATTTTTGTTAAAATATTGTATGTGTTCGTGTGTTACAATGGTATTCCGAATTATTTTTAATATTATAAATGTGAAAGTTTGTGAGTATGGATGTTTGTTACTCTTTTACGCCAAAACGGCTGAACGGATATAGATGAAATTTGGCACAGAGATAGATATATAATCTGGAATAACACATTTTATCCCGAAAAAATGTACAGTTCCTGTGGCATAGGTTTGTTCTTGTTGTGTCAGAGTAGAGTCCGTTAGTTATGTGACCAGTTTTTTTCCGTGATGAGATTTAGTGGTATTTATGTTTGGTGGTGGGTTTGAATTGAAAAATTGATGTGAGATCATTATCAATGAACGGTGATGTTGGTTCCGTTATAATTGACTGAATCCTTCTTATTCTATTGCTCCCATTTTCTTTTATTGGATAAGACATAGGCTACTCTCTTGCCTGAAAATCATCTATACACCAGTAAAAGTCCCGTTAAAATTATTTCAGCAATTCATAGATTAATGTATACAAATTACAAACATACATAAAGATTTACTGACATTTCTTTAATGGTTTTTTTAATCCAATTTCCAGGTGTGCTTCTCAAAGAAATTCAAACAGACTTCCTTCTAAGCAAATACTCGGTGGTTATTATCGATGAAGCCCATGAAAGGAGTGTATATACAGATATATTGCTTGGGTTGCTATCAAGAATAGTTCCTTTGAGAAGGAAAAGGGGTAGTCCACTAAGACTTATTATAATGTCAGCTACGCTTAGAGTTGAGGACTTCACACAAAATACAAGACTGTTTAAAGAACCGCCGCCAGTTATAAACGTACGTTAGCTTACTCTTTGCAAAATATCTGCTTAATTATTAAAGTTTAATAAGAATTCAACTGCAGTAAACTGACTTTTTTACACTATTAATTTAGTGCATTACTAGCAGAATAGATGTGGTTGACGGTCGCAATTAGCTACTAAACCGTGTTTTTAAAATATCCCCTTCATATATTACTAGCGACTCACCCTCGTTTCCCTTGGGTTCGTCCTTAAGGTACGTTTTAATGGTTAGTATGAAATACAAATCTTTGAATTTCTCGGCTATTCTGTACCATAATATGCATGTATTATACATATAAACCTTCCTCTTGAATCACTCTATCTATTGCTGAAAACTGCATTAAAATCCGTTAAGTAGTTTAAAAGATCTAAGCGAACAGACAGCGGAAGCGACTTCATTTTATACTATGTAAAGATATTAAAATTAATTTAGACCTCATTTTAGGGTTTGGTATACTATTGGAGTTATACTGCTGAAACAAGTTGGTAGGTCTCATATGAATATATAATAAAAATATGAGGGTAACGTTCCATATATAAACTGACATTTTTTCACATACAACGGGCAAACCTGCCTAAGAACGGAAAAAGCCGTACAAGAAGAAGATATGTAACTGAGGAATAAAATAGGAAATTGACTGCATATACACTTGTATATTTTTACTTTCTTCTCCTTCATGTATCGTTGGACAGGTAGAAACCTGTCCAGAAACAAATCGTCGAAAAAAATATTTTTATTCCAATTTCAGGGGATGACATTTTTTTTGTTGTCTGTATTTTTTATTTTGCACTATTACATACGAAGTTAGCTTCACTACTATCCACTACTTAACAAAATCTTTCAAACAAACTTAAAAAAGAGCAATTTTTCCAAAATCGAGTGCTAAATTCACACAGCCATAATAGTTGCCGAATTATATGATTCAAATTTTTTTAATTATACATATAACATCTTTAATTCATTTTTTCTTGTTAATGACTTCAAAGCGTGCCAGTTGAACACAGATTACTTCGCCAATGTCACGTAGAATGGAGAAGATACGAAGGAGAGTCAGTAAAATAAGATCATATATAACATGTTGCACACAAGCCCCGCCTGGTTTTTCTAATCTTCAATGTTTATATATTTTTTATGAAAACGTATTATAAATACTTCGCCTTTTTTAAATAGGTAGCGGCCAGACAGTTCCCAGTGACAGTCCATTTCAATAAACACACATACAGCGATTATTTGAAGGAAGCATACAAGAAAACAGTCAAAATTCACACGAGGCTACCAGAAGGAGGCATTTTAATATTTGTTACTGGACAACAAGAGGTATATATATTGTTTCAAATTTAATATTATTATAACAAAAATAATTGTGAAAAAGAATTGTGCAAGGTTTTTTTTAGCTTTTATTAATACTATTTGTAGATGGTATTAAATGTATCAATTGGTTATTGATTAAATAACAAGATGATATACTATACAACGCCATCTGGTTGGTTGGTGGTGGTGGTTTTTATTTGAACTATTTTTTCTTTTGTAAAGATACCCCATGTACAAACTATACTTTTTTACAGGTGAACTATCTGGTGCGAAAATTAAAAGCATCGTTTCCATACAGGAAAGATATAGACTATTCCAAATTGATAACTGAGAAGAATATTAAAGAAGTCGACCCCGCGCTTGACTCAGAGCCTGATGACATAGAATCTGATGATGATGAGGTAGTGTTAATTTTTAAAATATTTTAACAGCATCGTCTGTCTAATATATCAAAGGCAGTGGGTTCAATCTCTGAGATTAATGTGTTGTGCACAGGAGACATTATTAATACACAAATCGATATAAATAAAAATGAATGTTCGTATGTTTGTCGTTTATGCGTTCCTAAACTGTTGATTCGATTGTGATGAAACTCTGGTGGGTTACTATACGTCTGTTAAGGTTTCTGGAGCAAAAAACGTTTTGTTTTTGGAACAATTTCCTACAGGAATCATTTCATGGATTAATAAGTAAACATATCACTTTCCGGTTCGTAAACTATCTATCTGCCTGCTGCTGCTAATTGTGCATCAAGTAGTTTTAAAACAACATTTTAAATGTTGCCGTAAAAAACTTAATCTATGGCCATGTTGTGGCCATAGATTAAGTTTTTTTAACTACCTCTAGGTAAAGGATTTTAGGAAATTTTATGATTTAAGAAATTTTCAGTAATGTACCTAACAAATACGATTACAGAATAATTTTCATGTGATTTTACGCTAAATGGGTATGTTCAAATGTTTTGTAGGTAGAGAAAGAGATGAAACGAATGCGGAAAGCTAGACGTAAAGCGAGGCAAAAGAGTAAAGCTTTGCCCAAAATTAACTTAGATGATTATGATATGCCCGAAGATGATGGTCAGGCGGATCTATTGAGCGATGACGACAGTGAGGGACATATAAGCGATTCAGGTAATATATTTCTGGGTTTTTCTACTGGGTATTAGTTTGTGGTTTCTTGAATTGGTATTTAACAAACTTTATTTAAAAAAAATATTTTACCGATTTTGCAAATAACCTGTTTTACGAATTTCATTTAGAACTTGTCCAATTACAAAGAAAATTAGTTTTTTTATTATTATGGTCTCTTATGAAATGCAGACAAATTGAGGTCCTCCTGTTTTAATAGAATAATAGCAATAAGGGGGAAGGAAGGAATTGAAAAACTTTTAAGTTTTATTTCTTCTCAAATTCTTTTTGATATACCATGGCAACATGGCACCTGGCAAATGTTTTTTTATGATCCTAAAAATATGTGGAGAAACTTGCGCTATAAAACAAATCTAAAGATGTAAAATTAATATAAATTGTTTATATACAGGTCTTACACATAACCCTTCTTTTTGCTATGTCTACAAAAATATTTAACTGATCAATTTTTACCAATTTAGATGCAGAGGACGACAGTTTATCAGCCGTCATAAAGTCTTGTAGACAACCTCTATGGGTACTTCCCCTGTATTCTATGTTGAGTTCAGCAAAACAATCGCGCGTTTTCGATCCACCGCCTGTCGGGGCGCGACTGTGCGTGGTGAGCACTGACGTGGCGGAAACTTCTTTAACTATACCTGCTATCAAATATGTTGTGGATACTGGAAAGAAGAAAATGCGGTAGGTGCTATTTTTGGATTTTTTTACATACTAGTGATTTACTCTTGTTATGGGTGCATTGCTAAGTAGGTGCCTAACAGTGTAATAAATTTTATCCAAAGCCAGTTCAATCGTTTCAGCGTTAAGGGGTATCAAATAGACAGAAATTTTCGCGGTTATATAGTAGTAATCTGATAACTTGTAGTCCACGGAATCTGTTTCGTGGTAGATATGACGAACTTCTCTTGACTCCGTTGAGTGGTTATGACATAAGAAAGTAGAAGTAAGAAAGTGACGTAGAAGTAACAACACTGATTCTAAACCAACACCCTTTCACTAGCGCACACGACCTACTCCGAATATATTTAACCTAGAATTTCAATATATAATAATAATAACTATATTCATAAATAAGGAAATTGAACATAGAACATAGTAATTTTTACAGTAAAGGCTTGTACAAATCAATTTCATACGGTTAGGTGAAGTACTGTACTCCTTGCTAGGTTATAAAAATAATCTGTATTAAGGAGTAACAGTCCAGTATATAAATAAATATGTTGAGACATTAACACACAGCACCATCTAGTTCTATGGTAAGTTACGAGGCTTGTGTTATGGATACCGGATATTTGATATACTACACATATATAACTTTAAATACATATGTATTATAAATATAAGCACCTACGACTGGACAAACTTTAGTGTTCATCACACAAATGAATGCCCCCAGCGGGACTCTCGAACCCGTGACCGCTGGCACAGCAAGTAGGGTCATTACAAACTGAGCCATACGTGTCGACATATATGTAAAACTAGCGGTTCGCCTTTGGGTAAACAAAAACAAATCTATTCTACGGGAAGCGTACATTTTTCCGGGACAAAAAGTAGCCTATTTGTTATTCTGATGTATGAACTATATTATTGAAGTTTCATTAAAATCCAATCGGTAGTTTTTGTGTACTAAGCTGTATAAGTTACTATACTTTTTTAACCATCCCACGGGAACTCTTTAATTTTCTGGGATGAAAAGTTACTTAAATGTTGACCGAGGATTTAACCACCATGCAAAATTTCATTTAAATCAGTGCAACAGTTTTGGCGATTAGCCTGTACAAACAGAGAAACAAAAAAAAAACGAAATAAAGATCTGGATTTGTTCTATTTCTCTGCTTACATCCCCCTGGCTTGGTTTTTATTTTCTATATACAGACATTCGACCCATACAGTTTTATTATATGTATAAATATCAACTGCCTCCGTGGTGTAGTGGCTAGCATGTACGGCTGCACACCCGGAGGTCCTGGGTTCGAGTCCCGGGTCGGGCCAAGTTTAGTTATTGAGTCTTTCTGTATAAGTAAGCCTCAGTAACAGCCCGGAGTTGGGAAGTTGGCGGTGTTCACCCCCGTGCCTCAGAGAGCACGTAAAGCCGTCGGTCCTGCGCCTTAACTCTCACTGGTCGTGTCGAGCAGTCGTCCCACCGGAATATGAGAGTGATAGGAATAGAGAGTGCACTTGTGTCTGCGCGTACACTTGTGCACTATAATATCTCCTGCGCAGTTGGCTAGTCTCAATGAGATTGGCCGCCGTGGCCGGAATCGGTCGGGAGAACATCATCATCAAATATATGTATGTATATAAAGGCCTCACCCGACTCGCTCATAACCCACACAAGCGATAGACGATTATTACTATAACTAATAGAATTAGTCGATTGCTCAGTTTAGTCGATAAAAGTCGATAACAATCGATGTTATTCGATTCTTATCGATTAACGGCTTGAAGCGGGCGATAATGACTGATATGGTTTCCGTGTTAACTTTAACTACTAATTTGTAGCCCAGCGCATCTATATTACTATACTCGTACGTAAACAAATTGAAGTAATACTTAAAACAATCGACGTAACACCATCCCGCACCCCGTCGCGTGGGCCCGCACGCACTGCTCCGCGCGGCCTTCCGCAGCTCACCGCATGCACATGCAGTATGCGTCGTGCGTATAATTAGTAGTCTGTAGTTTGTCGATTGTTATTCGAATAATCATAATGAGGAACTACTAAATTGGGTTCGATTGATTTCGATTTCGATCGCTAACAAACACCTGCCCACAGCGTGTACGACCACGCGACGGGCGCGAGCGCGTGGCGCGTGGTGTGGACGTCGCAGGCGAGCGCGGCGCAGCGCGCGGGGCGCGCGGGGCGCACGGGCGCGGGGCACGCCTACCGCGCCTACAGCGCCGCCGTGTTCCAGCACGAGTGCGCGCCGCACCACGCGCCCGACCTCCTCCGGCGCCCCGTCGACGACCTGCTGCTCATGATGAAGTGTATGGGCATTGATAAGGTCAGTTCCAGCTACTTGTATTAGGGATGAGCGATATTTATCGATATAGGTGAAATATCGATATCAGAGTAAAAAATATATATCGATAATCACATCTAGCAAATATCGAAATACGGATATTTTCAACAAACATATCGATATTGAGTCACCGATATCCATATCGATATCAATATCGATATTTTATTAATATCGCTCATCCATAACTTGTATCCCTATTAAGTGTAAATTGGTCATGTGAGACTAGTTTTTTTCACGTTGAAGATTATGGGCATATATAAGGCTAGTTCGAGCTATTTATCTCCCTTTTAAGTGTAAATTGTTAGAGATTACGGGCATTAATAAGGAAAGTTCAAGCAAGTTATTTCATAATACTTAAGTACTTAGATTAGATCAATAAATTCAATAAATTAGATCAATAAATCTTTTCGGATTATTTAGCGGTTTTTTTTTTGGATTTTTGGTGTCCGATATTTCGTTTCTCCCGTGACTATGATTGCTGTAAAGCATTTGAAACATCGGGAACCAACAATCAAAATAAATCCGGAAATAATTCGAAAAGATGGTTTTTTTTAAAACAACTTATTTCATTTTAATTACTTATTGGTCCTATGAGACCAGATTTTCTTATATTTCACCATGATGAAGAATGAATTACAGGCGTAGATACGTGTAGGCGATAAAATAATTACATATTACACCTATAACTATTAAGTTAATAGTATTGTAACCTACGGTCTATAGTTCCGAAAAGTTGCTATATTAGGAAAATCTAGTCACTATTAATACTCGGTAGTCTGTCTGTGGTCTGTAACTTTAGGGTGAAGATTGTACATATTAGGATTTTCATTTGCTTCTCTCACAAACTGTATGAATATACAATGATCCAATATATGACAATCCATTTCTAGAATAAACCTTTTACTTTTCAAAATTATTCGACTTTTAGAGGAATAGTTTTTTTTCTGTATATGAATGGGTTTCCACGGAAAAGGGATATTGGATATCAAGAAAAACAATAATTTGAATAATTGTTTTTTTTTTATTATAAGTTTATTCAAATATTTTAATTATAATTGTAGGTGGTAAACTTTCCATTCCCGACGGCGCCTGATAGGATGCAGCTGCGCCTAGCAGAGAAGAGATTAGAAGTTTTGGGAATATTGGAGAAGTCAGAAGTAAAGAAGAAAAGGATAGATGATGAAGAGGTATATAATTATGTTTTTTCTTTAAATACTAATGTTTTCTCGCAACTCCATCCGCGTAGTTCAATTATGCATTACTATATCTCTATAAATTATAGCCCATCACCCATGTGTTACTCTGATATATACGCTACTAGCGACTCACCCTCACTTCATATATATATATATATATATATACAATATATATATATATATAAACCTTCCTCTTGAGCTACTCTATCTATTGCTGAAAACTGCATTAAGATCCGTTGAGTAGTTTGAAAGGTCTAAGCGTACAAACAGCGGGAGCGACTTTGTTTTATACTATGTATAGATATTACTGTTAAGATTGTCAAAATCGGTTCAGTAGTAGTTTAGTGAAAGACTAATACATGTACATCCATACATCTTCGAAACTTACGCTTTTAAAAGAATATTATATTAAACGTTTTTAACAATTTGTTATCTCTTTTCGTTTTTCAGCTAATTTGAAAAGGTTTTTTTATTAATATTAATAGAACCTACTTTTATAAATTACCTGACACGTATTTTCAATACATGATATTTAATTTGTTTAGGTACTTAAAGTGACTCCACTAGGTAAAGCAGTGTCAGCGTTCCCGCTTCTGCCTCGATACGGGAAGATGTTGGCTCTTAGTCATCAGTTCGATTTGCTTCCATATACAATTGCTTTAGTGTCTGCTCTCACTGTTCAAGAGGTAATATATTTTGATTTATTTGTTTATTTATTTAAAACTAGCGGTTCACCCTTGCTTCGCTCGGCTTCGCCTCTAGAAAAAAAAGAAACCTATCCCACGGGAACCGTACATTTTCCGGGATGTATTTGCCTATGTATTTTTCCAGACTAATCTATCTCTGTGCCAAATTTCATTCAGATCCGTTGAGCCTTTCTGTTGTGATTGAATAACAAACATCCATTCAAACATTTGAAAATGGGATTTTTTATGACAACCCTTACATTTAACAGCATATCTGTAAAATCAATATATTTTGAAGCCATTAACGAGAAAATTGAATTGATTTGAAAATTAATAAAGCGATCGTCTATTGTATGGATTTTTATACTGTGGCATACTTTGTGGTATATTTAATTTTTTTAATCAATTAATTTAAATCGTATTCAGTCCTTTTTAACGCCCCAATGCACGGTCCTTCCTTCAATACAAGGGGGATCAGGCCATAGTCCACCACGTTGGCCAAGTGCGGGTTGGCGGACTTCACATATCTTTACAATACTTGCTAGAGTTTTGTAATCTCAGATAAGCAGGTTTCCTCACGATGTTTTCCTTCACCGTAAGACAAGCGGAAATCATTAGAAATGATTCGCATAAGAAAATATTAGTGATGCGAGACTCGGGATTTGAACCCGTTACAAATAGTACGCTACTACTGGGCTACCACTGCCTTAACACTGTCCAATTTAAATGTAAATAATTATATATTTTAGGTAATGAGCGGCAAAGCGGACAGTTGGCCAGCGACCGGCAATACGTTGTTGTTGGGTGACCCCGGCGTGTTGCTGAGAGCGGTCGGCGCTGCGGAGTACGCGTATGTGAAGGGGGAAGAAGAGTTGTTTTGTGCCAAATACGGATTGAGAGAGAAAGTGAGTCTTAGTGCCTAGGTGATAAGGTTGATTTTTGGACGCGATTCTTTTATTCTGTTATAGGTTATTAAGTTTTTTTTTAATTATAATAATTGTGAGCTATAAATTAAATACCAGACTTTTTGAGTTGTTTGACATATATTATTTACAAGTGGTCTTAGTTATCCTACCTACTCTTTTGGGAAGCGATTCTTTTCAAATGTATTTAATAATTAGCGACTCACTCTCGTTTCGCTCGGGTTCGTTACTGGGTTGCTTCCCCATACAAAGTTTTATTCCTATTTTCACCCCCTTAAGGATGAATTCCAGGATAAAAACCATCCTATGTTCTTCGCAGGGTCTCAAACTATCTTCTTACCGAATTTCCTCTAGATCGGTTCAGCAGTTTCAGAGCCTTTTCGGTACTAACAAACAAAAAATACATCTTTCCTCTTTTTTTTTCTTCGTGGATACTGGCGTTCATTACATACATAAATTGGTCTAATGTATTTTTTTCTAACTCTTTAGGCTATCAAAGAAATCCGTAAACTCCGTAAGCAGTTGACATCAGAGATCAACCTGAGCGTGTCCGGCGTGAATGTGACCATAGACCCGGAGATGAAACCTCCGGACGATAGGCAAGCGAGACTGTTGAGGCAGCTGTTGCTCAGTGGTCTCGGTGACCAGGTTGCGAGGAAGATAGCTTTACACGAAGTTAAGGAAGGTTAGCTCTTGTACTACAAATATAAATCAAACTTGGGCCTTTATTCTTCTATAAATAGAATATTAAAACAATATAATATCTTACACAGAAACTCGAGTATCGACATATTTTCTAATAAAATTGAAAAAGTCTCTGATATTAAACTGCTTAAGAGTTACTTATGGTGATAGTTTTAACTTGTATCTAATATATTGCTAATTTGTTTATTTTTTTCTCATTATAGATATTGCTTCTTTTTTTCTTTCTTTTTTTTTTGCTTTAAGTAACTGATTATTATAGTGTCTTTAAATTTTTTTTTACAATTTATAGTGGGGTTAATTTTTATTTTCTTTTAAGCTCTGTGTAATTGTTTATGCATGTCGTGGTTACCTATAAGTATGATAACAGTTGGATTTAAACCACCTTTGTACAATTGTGTATTTGGTTAAGTTACTGTATATCATGTTGGTGATCCTAATTAAATAAATAAATAACAATAGGTAAGTTATCTTCTCTTCACTTGGGTGGGTCATACATTTATTGCTTTATTATAAACTGTTTGATGCAGTCTTTTCCCCACTTCATTTAAAGTTATTATGATTTCTGACAGTAAACACATTTTTATTGGAATAAAATCAGTAATTTCATAGATTACACTGTACATACAAACATACAACCTTTCTAACTCTATATATTTATAATACTAGCGTAGACTTGTGACTCTCCCTCGGGTGCGTTCCTAGGTGCCTATATGTTAACTCTAGAGTCTAGATCATAGACTACTTCATTTTATCCAAATTTATACATTTATTTCAACAAACTTTTTTATTAATAGTAGTCCCGATTTACTGAGGAATTTTAGTCACTAGTAAGGCAGTAGTTGCCCAGTGGTACAGCGCTCGCTTAGGAAACCGAGTGAAGCAGATTCAAATCCCGGGCCTCGCCGCTCTGATTTTTTCACTGTTCGAATCATTCCCAGCATGATTACATATCACTTATCTTACGGTGAAGGAATTTTCCAACATGATTACGTGGAGGAAAAAATTGTGAGGAAACATGCATGTCTGAGAGAAACTACCAAGTTTTCGAAAGACGTGTGAACTCCGCCAACCCGCACTTGGCCAGCGTGGTGGACTATGGCCTGATCCCCCTCGTATTGAAGGGAGGCCCGTGCCCAGCAGTGGGACGTTAAAAAGGGCTAAAGGGAATACAGACACTAGTCACCGCCAATAGGCTTAATATGTAAATACATTTAGATTATTTTATTTTCTTTCAGGAGAAGACAAACGTAAATACAAATACGCATATCACAGCAGCAACTTAGAAGAGCCAGTTCACTTGCATTCAGAGTCAATACTGCGGAAGGTCATACCGGAGTGGGTGGTGTACCAGGATATGTATGAGACTGGAGGACAGGATAGCAGGAAGATGGTGTTGCGGAACGTGGCTGCCATAGAGCCGGAATGGTTCCCCACCTATGTGCCACAGTTGTGCAATTTAGGTAGGATATTGCTTGATATATTTGTAGTGTTGTCTGTTTTTATAACTACTTACGTACTTTTTGGTCGAACTTCAAAGAATGTTTCTGTGAAATAATTTTAAATTTAACTGGCGATTCGCCCTCGCTTCGTTCAGTACATTTTGATTAATAAATACTTTTAAAACCATGGATTATAGACTCCCTAAATATGTTTAAAATTGTAGTTATTTTGATTGTATAAAGTATATTGCTTACAGGAGAACCATTGTCTGACCCCGAACCCAGGTATGATGAGAAGTCTGGCCGAGTGAAGTGTCACTTCAAAGGGACGTTTGGAAAGAGCTGTTGGGAGCTCCCCGTTGTGGAGATAGACTATCCGGATAAAATTGAACGATATAGGTAAGAAATAAATGACAAATCAATGAATAGATTCTTTATATAAACGAGCTTTATGGTTGCACCCATCAAACAAAATTTGCCAGCTTTTGTGTAGGCACCATCGATCAAAAAAGGATTAGATTCACAATCTCCTACAAAAGTTTTCTTAAAACTGTCACCAATTGTGTTTAGGTAATTATTGTAGTCGAGTTAAATATACAACAATGAAAATTGAGCCTTAACTGCCATGCTTAAAATTATTTTCACAAAAAATAAAATAATTTAAAAGCGCGCCAAATGTTCAAATTAACGTTTATTCGGTGAGGACATTTTTAGTCGCTGATTGTGTATCTAGTAACTTTTTGATCGGTGGTAGGCATATAAGTTTCTATTATTTTATCTATGGAATAAAACTACAATGTAGTTTATTTGTGTGCCATTTTTTTATTTCGCTTTAAATGTGAATTTTTGAGTCATATATATAGTTATCAGTCTGTCATTATAGGTGTCATTCTTTAGATGGTTCGATAGATGTTAATGTAAGGTTTTCTTATTTTATTTTTAAGTAGAAATTGGTATAAAAATAGCTAAATTTCATAAATATTTATGAATGAGATATAGAGATTAAAAGAAATAAATACGGTTAGCGTAACCAATTCGGAGAAATTACAAATATTTGGCAAAAAGTTAGTATAACACTGTTTTTGTCTACAGATGGTTTGCCAGATTCCTTCTAGAAGGTAAAGTGTTTCCTAAATTGAAGAAGTACACCAGTTCTCTACTATCTCCACCTTCTACTATGGTCAAGAGTTGGGCCAAGTTGCAGTCCAGAACAGAAGTTATACTAAAAGCTTTGATAGCGAGACGAGCTGGCACGAAGGGCCAATTGGAGGAAAGTTGGAAACAACAGCCTAATTGTAAGACATTTTCATTATACTTAGCTTCTTTTTTTTTATATAGTATAGTGTAGTTCATTTGCTTTTTCATAATATAATCAGTTAAATATACAATAGTAGCGACGTACCCTCGCTTCGCTCGGGTGCGTAATTGGGTACGCAGATTTTACTTACAATTTCATAGGGTTTTTTTACGCGGATCCCTGATTCTTTTTTTTAAATAAAAGTAGCCTTAGTTATTCCTTATAACATCAGCTATCTGCCAGTAAAAGTTTCGTCAAAATCGTTACAGCCGCTTTGGAGGATATGTTTATATGTTTTAAATAAAACTATCTTTTCGGATTTTTTCGCGTATTTATTTTGATGTTTGGTTACCAACGTTTCGAATGTTTTACAGCAATAAATGCTTTAATAAATATTTGATAAATTAAAATGTAAAATATTCACGTTAATCTAAGAAAGTATTAATTATATGTTATACAATACTTTTTTACTATTGTATTTTAGATTTACTTGAAGAATATTTGAAGTGGATTCCTGAATCTGCCCACAATGAAGTGACTTTGTATTGGCCTCCCAATAAATGAATCACTCAATAATTCCCCCAACCAATAGTTTAGCGGATGGATCACAAGTCAAGCAACACAGTGAGCGGCATTTAGTTGATGGGTGATCGTATAATAACGACATTACGAGACTTGGCTCAGTTTGTAGTGACTCTACAGTAGTGAACCTACTTACTGTGCCAGCAGTCGCGGTTTCGAGTCCCGCTATTTAGCCACTTACGAATCCACGCGTTTTAGTCCCGTAGTATCATTATTATATAAAGGTGATCAATTAATGGTATAACTCAATGCTTTTGGGTTGTCAGGGACAAGTTAAGTTTTCTATTGATCCCAGTGCTGCTAGTGTTTTAACTACTTGTCAAATTACTACTTATATGAAAAACTAAAGAAAAATATATTATATAAGTTAATTATTTTGTAAATATTGTAAATAAACTTTTGATAAAACATAGCTTGTCTTATTTTTATTTTTCATCAATGAAAATTTTGTCTCAGTATTAATTGTTTATATAAAAAATAATGGCCTTATAAATTTCAAAATAAAAAAAAATCTTATACTAGAATGGTCCTTTAAAAAGGTAAAAAAATAACAAATATAATAAAATTGTTACAAAATGAAGTTGCAAGACCTAAACCTACTGATACCTACTGATAGTAATTTAAAATGCCTCTTTTGTTTGCGACTGAGGTCTTTATAGTCTAAGAACCGAATAAGAAACTACCTTCACCCATCTGTTTAATAGATGAAAAGGTTTTTATATTAAATTTAATATGTTAAACAATATATCGCGAGAGGGTTTCCTGGCCAGACTATCTATATTTATATTATAAATGCGAAAGTTTGTGAGGATGTGTGGATATATAGATATATGGATGTTTGTTACTCTTTTACGTAAAAACTACTGAACGGATTTTAATGAAACTTTCAATAATACAGCTCATCATACATCAGAATAAAACATATTATGCTACTTTTTATCCCGGAAAATGTACGGTTCCTGTGGAATACATTTGTTTTTGACTTTCACTAGGGACGAATCCGAACGAAGCGAAGGGTAAGTTGCAGAGGTAGACAAGTGGTAACACGTTCACCTGGGAAACCGAGTTAAGCAGGTTCAAATCCCGGATCTCGCAGCTCTGATATTTTCATTGTTCGAATCATTCCCACCATCATTACCTATCACTTGTCTTACGGTGAAGGATAAAACATCGTGCGGAAACATGCATAATGATGATGAGAACGGTGTTACAACTAAATGTTTACGTACCTAATCGGTTAACACAAAGTTAAAGATAAAAATTACTATTTTCTTTGTTTAATTTCTCTATTTATGAATAAAAGTTTATTATTATTCATATTTTATTTATTTATATTTAATACACTTATTAGTACTTTAGCTATTTTTTACTTTCCTACTAACCTTCTAGCTTGCTTCCCAATACAAACTTTCATCCCCATTTTCAAAGATCCCTTAAGAGATGATTTCCGGGATAAAAAGTATCCTATGTCCTTCCCAGGATCTCAAACTATCTTCTTACCAAATTTCATCTAAATCGGTTCAGTTCAGGTTCAGCCCTACAACGTCACAAACTCACAATTCACAAACTTTACCTCTTTATAATGTTAGTAGGTATAGACACGACCCTGTTTCTATTATGTTTGACTTACTGCGTTAGTTGCACTACTCATTTCTGCTACGCTAGTAATTTACATTATGTGAATACAAAATAAACAATTAGCTGTTGTTCTATATTTGATACCTATTTTAGTATATATGTATCTAACAAGCGACTCATCCTCGCAGCTCGCATCGCTCGGGTTCGTCCCTAGGTATGTTTTAACGTGTTTTACCTTGGGAATGAGATAATTTCTAAAAAGTAGCATATGCCACTCTTAAGCCCTCCAACTATCTCTACACAAAAAATTACGCCTATCCGTCACTCTGTTTCAACGTGAAAGAAGGACAAACAAATAAACAAACAAACAGATACTTTTACAGTTATCGATAATAATATTTAGTACGGATATCTATAGATGCTGAGAAGTTGTGAAGAACGTGTTTATTATAGAATCTAATTTATCAGTATTCGCACGTAGGTACATGTCATGAGTAAAGTTATGTTTATTATTATTACGAGTATTTTACTGCCTGCACTGCTTTGAAATAAGCTGCAAATGGCTGTGCAGTTGTCAATATTGCCTACTATCAAAGAAGCGATTCAAATGCGCGAATAACATTTCTCGATTGGTGGATTACATACATATACCTATATCATGAACGAATTAACCAAATTCGTTCATGACCTATATATATATATATATATATATATATATATATATATATATATATATATATATATACTATTCTTTATTGCACTTATATGTAAAATACAGAGAGTAACAAACAATAAAATTAGTTAGCAAAGGTGGACTTATCTCTAGAAGAGATCTCTTCCAGTCAACCTAAGTGAGTTAGAGAGATAGTATTAAAATGCAGGCTAAAGTGCAGTAACTCAAATGTAAATACTTAAATAAATATATATTATATATACATATAACAAAACATTATACATATTATATACATAAATATATGTACATACTACTACATACACAAATACATATCTATATAATATAATGCATAATAATAGTAGTTAATATAATTATTGTGGAATAACTTGGGTGAGAAAGTGCTGTTTTATTTTCTTTTTAAAGGCAGTTATAGAGGGGTTTAATTGGATGTCTTTCGGAAGTTTGTTCCAGAGCAATGCGGTATACACCGAAAAAGATTGTAGAGAGAATTTAGTGTTGCTCTTGGGTATGTCAAGCATCGCAGTAATGCAAGGCCGCCTGGAACGAGTAGGAGTAGGGAGAATTTGGAAGCGAGAACGAAGGTATGAAGGAGAATTGGGATCATTAAGAATATTGAAGAGGAATGAAAGGATATGCATATCACGGCGAAGGCGGATTGGGAGCCATTTAAGTTGAGCACGAAAGTTTGATATATGGTCATGCTTACGCAAGCCAAAAATAAAACGAATAGCGAGATTTTGAAGACGCTCTAATTTGTTGAGTTGCTCCTCAGTCACATCTAAATAGCACACATCAGCGTAGTCGAGTATGGGGAGAAGAAGGGACTGAGCAAGCATAATCTTGGTTGTGAAAGGGAGGAAGAATTGGAGACGCTTGAGAGAGTGAAGAGTATAATGCATTCGTTTGCTGACCTCGTTGACATGAGCCGCCCAAGTTATGTTACAATCCATAATTAAGCCCAAGTTTTTTACTTTATTACAGTACGGGATTGGAACACCCGAGAACTGGACTGTAGGTGTCGAGGTCCAATCGATTTTTCACCTCAGTCGACTACTGCCAAAAATTATGGATTGTGACTTGCAGGGATTCACAAGGAGGCCAAAGGACTCTGCCCACGTTTAGACCCGGACAAGATCCGAGTTCAATGCATCAATAGCTTCATGTAACTCGGTCAGCTCACAATGTCGATATAATTGTAAGTCATCTGCATACAGATGGAAGGGAGAAGAAATGACTTTTGATATGTTATTAATAAATATTGAAAAAAGTAAGGAGAAAGTACGCCGCCTTGAGGTACACCAGCAGTAAGATCTAGCCAATCCGATGATGCATCGTTGGTCTTCACGCACTGCTGGCGTCCGAAGAGATAAGAGTGAAACCAGTCTATAACAGTACTAGAAATGTTGACCGCACGAAGAGTTCCCATAAGGATGTCGAGATCCACAGAGCTGAAAGCGCTGCTAAAATCAAGTAAAACCATCACAGTGAGCTTGGTTTTATCCATAGCACCACGAATATCCTCTGTGATATTCAGCAGTGCACCAACTGTACTATGGGAGGAGCGGAAACCGGATTGATAGGGACATAAGAGGTTATTGTGAGATAGATAGGAGTAAAGTTGATTGTGTGCCAATGATTCTATGACTTTGGATAGGATAGGAAGAATTGATATAGGACGGTATTGAGTGAGATACTTAGGATTCGGGGATTTAGGTAGGGGTATGACGAAAGCTTTTTACCATAAAGACGGGAAGACATTGCGTGTGAATGAGAAGTTTAGAATGTGAGTGATCACAGGTGCAATATCTTCCAGTACCGGAAGAATCATGTCGCGGCTGAGGTCGTCACTACCAATGGCTTTTGTGGAAATAGAGCGGACACACTTCTTTATATCATCTACTGAGACTGTTTCAAAGACGAATGGTGGTATGTCAGGGGGGGCGAGGTTTAATAAAAATGAAAGAGTTTGAGTTTTGGTATGCTAATCTACAGTGATGGGTGGAGTGGTAAAATTATAATTTAAAGCATTATGATCCACAGAACTTTGACAAGTTTCTGCGGCCTTGCCCACACCCAGTGACAATAGGAATCTCCAAACTTGCGCTTGACAAAGATCCTGAATCGTTGAGTGAATATAACGGCATTTGGCATTCCTACACATTCTGTTGCAGATGTTACGTAATTTTTTGTATGCATCAAGATTCTCAGCAGATGGATGCTTTTTGTTCTTAGATTTGGCCTTATCACGCTTGGCCATAGTCCTCTTGATCGCAGGTGATAGCCATGGGGCGGGAGCGTGTTTCATTCGTACCGGTCGGACCGGAGCGTGCTTGTCATACAACCTAATCAGCTCAGCAGTTAAAGAGTCAACCATGCTATCGATGTTATTTGTTGACAGTATCGGAGACCAGTCAATATTTCTAACATCCTCTCTCAAGCGGTCCAGATCCATATGCTTAAAGTTGCGCTGAAGTATAATCTTGCCTCTCACCTTAGGAGGACGCAATTTGTAAGCGAGGTAGATTAAGTCATGGTGTGAGAAAGGTGCAGTCTTTTGACCATGCGAAACAGTGAGAGAAGGTTGAGAGACAGAGATTATATCTATGAGAGATGGGCGAGAATTAGGAAAGTAATGAGTAGGGGAAATCAAAGGGAGAATATGTAAATTGACTGAGGTATTTAAATCTTTTAATGCTTCAGTCCTGGAGTCATTTTTTATTAAACAAGTATTTAGATCACCCATGTAAATTACATGATCGTAGCAGGGAACAAGGTTCTCAAGAATATCTCCTAATTCCTGAAAATAATTAATTTTGTCGCTTGGGCAATACAAAACACCAAGAAGAATTTTTTTGCCGTGAATAACTAATTCCAAAAAAATATATTCAAGAGAGCCTGTTGAGAGTGAGATGGACTGTTTAACAACACAGGCGGGTAAATTGCTGCGCAGATAAATACCCACGCCGCCACCACCCTGACCAGTACGGTCATTCCGAAAAAGCTGATATCCTGGAAGAGAATAACTAGTCGATGGGAGTGAAGGTTTAAGCCAGGTTTCAGACACAAGTATACAATCGACTACGCCGGTACTAAAAGATGCGAGAAGATCTGAATAGTGAGCAGGAATGCTCTGCGCGTTAATATGCACTAGGGTAAGGAATTTAGAATTATTTGGAAATACCTTTGACAGTTTTTGTTCAAGTGTACCTTCATCCGAAATAGAAGCGTTTAAACTATTTTCAGCACTTTCAAAATCATCCGAAGAAGAACAAGAAATATATTCGATATCATACATAATACTTAATTATTATTACTTAAATATTAATATAAATATAGAAAATATATAAATATATATAAAGACAACCAAATATATAATAAAAATACTAGAAAAAAAATATATGATTAAGATTAATATTATACTATACTCATGCATAAGTTGACTGCAAAAGAAAAAACATTTCTAAATAATATAACAACAAAAAAAAAACAAAAAGAAACAGACAGTGATAAGCAGATTAAACAACAATTAAAAAAAATAAAACTCAGAGCAACCACAAAGTATTGAACGCTGTACAAAGACATCATTTTAAAATATTAATTTTGTATCTGTGAATAATTTTGTGTCAATGATATTTATGACAAATGACAATTGACATTAAACACTTAATTATTAGTTGACAAACTGTGACATATTAGAAAAATAATGTGTTTTGAACTACAAAATATAGCGAAGAATAATTTGAATATTGTGGATACCCTGCGTAAAAAAATATATTAAGTTACAATAGTTCACATACACACTATAAACCGACCATATGAAAAAGTTATAAACAAATACAACCGTGCTAGTTATTGTCAGTTTTAGTATATTATGCCATCAGTTTTTTGAGCTCGGACAAGGAAGTAACTTTTTTGCGGGACTTATCAGGGAGAAGAATTACTATTACACCATCTGCAGACCAGCACTTCTTCATCCCAAAGTGGCCACGAGCAGCAACAAACACATCTTGCCGGGACTTTGTTAAAAACTCAGTCACAGTTGTTTTAGTGCCTTTCAAAGAAGTTTTAGCCTTCCAAACAATGGAACGTGCTTGCATATCTGTGAACCGCACAAGAATGGGCCTGGCTGATTCCCTCTTTACACCTAACCTGTGGCAGGATTCAATTGAATCTGGCTTTGAGTCTGACAATTTCATTTGGCTGGTTAACACATACATGATTTTCTTCAAGACATCTTCCTCCTTATCTTCTTTAATGCCATGAAAGAGAAGAACCTTCCTTCGTGATTGAGTCTCCAAGCGATCCAAACCAAGGGCAACAAGCTCCACCTGAGATTTGAGTATGCCAAGGGACTTCCATATGAAAGTCTTGAAAGTACAAAATTCTGCGGCCAAAGCTTTTACTGTAGGATTAGAAGCAGTAGAACCAGGTGGTTGCAAGTTCTTTTCAAATTCGACCATTCTTGTATTAAACATAGACGATAGCTCGTCCATGCTCTTCACAAGCTGCTCAATTGGAGAGTCCATAATTCAGTGTGGTGATTTTGTGTGAAAGTGAGTTTACAGTCAACTTAAGCACTGGTAATGTAAACTTTAATATATATGTTCTATAATTATTTTTAAAGTTTTAAATAATGTGGAGCTATTAAATCACGTCTAAACTCTTTTGTGTCTACCCGCCGAAAAAATATATATATATATATATATAATTTTAGAGTAGCAAATGCACATTATATGTGTACCTACCTAATTATTATTGAAATATAATAAGAAGTGTCTAGTGGACACGGTACAAAAGATGTTGTCCTGCCACAAAACTTGTTTAGAATATTAAAAAAAAACGTATTTTGTCGACAGTCTACCTTTAGTATTACCACCTAATTTAGTATTTGGCATGCTGATACCTTATATAGCCGGTCAAACAACAGGTTACTTTTTATCCCGGAAAAATGAACGGTTCCCGTGGGATAGATCTGTGCTTTCCTAATGGCGAACCCGAGCGAAGCAAGGGTAAGCCGCTAGTTTTAAGTATACATACAGTTTCTGAAAATTTGTGATTGGACTTTGTATTTCGATAGATATTTAAGTAATTATTTTAAATACTGTTCAGTGTTAAAGTGGAAAAATAATATTTTATATTTAAAATAATAAAGTCTATAGGCAGCTTTATTTATCAATTCACTTCACACAAAATAAATCATTCAATTCTGAATCTGCCTGTATTCTGTCAGTGTTTGTAGAGACGTTGAACTATGAGCGCGTGAAGTTTGACGTCAAAATGAGTACGATAGCGTTAAAAATATTGTTATTAAATTTTATAATAGGATTTGTTTTTACTTTTGCTCTACCATTCGAAGGATTGTACGAACTGGATATTATACATTATAATGATTTTCACGCAAGGTAGGTGAACATATAGCATCTTAACATATAATATGTTTTTAATAGATATATATTATTCATAATGACAATTTTTAATCTTAAGTGATTTGATATTCTTCTTCACATATTATCTTTAGAAGATGACTTTTAACAACATATAAATTATGAAACAGACAAACATATTTTGTAATAATTTTATTTTACTTCTAAAATGAGATGTTTCGTCAGATATGTAGAGATAATAAAGAACTTTTAGTTGGCATAATTGTCAGCTTCCTTAGAAAGAGATAAAGTAGGTGGATTTTATATTATCTAGACATGTTATGAATACATTTAGAATGTTATTTTTATAATATAAATTTATTTATTATTTTACTTACGTCATAGTCTAAGGTCGAATCTAACCCGCACTTGGCCAGCGTGGGGAACAATGGCCTGATCCCCTTTGTATTGAAGGGAGGCACGTGCCCAGTAGTGGGACGTTTAAAAGAGTTGAATATAAGATGGCCGAATACAATATGATATAAATAACCGACGAGCCAATATGAATACCCAGCCAGAGATCGCTCCATATGTCTCTCTCTGTCATAACTAAGAGAGGGAAAGCCGACATTAATTATTATTACTATTATTTCTTGTTTATGTATATGGTTTATATGGAGTGTACCAAAACCGATCCACCCCACACTAAATTCTATCATATGTTAATATTTATAAATTGACTAGCGTTAACGTTTAGTATAGATTTCTTAGACATGAGATATTTTCCCGTAGTATAAAGTATCTTATATGTTGACCCGGATAACCAGCTATCATCAGACCAAATTTCATGAAAATACCTCCAGCTGTTTTTCCGTTATGCGGTAACAGACAAACAAACAGACAAAAATTCTAAAAACTATAGATTCGTACTCTGTTTCGATAATAATGTCTATTTCAATAAGATTTTTTCAAAAAATATTTCATGTACAGATTCGGCTTAGTTACAATTTAATCATATGTTTATGTAGATTTTGTACAAGGAATACAAGTATCAGTATAGTCTTGTACGTTCAGTTCGGTACCAATAACTATGACCTTGATACAATTGTTGTGAACAAATTGTACTACTTTCAAAGAGTGTATGTAATAAAGCAAACCAACCTTACGAAATATTGATGTTCATTATCGATGCGAATATCGATATAATATAGTCATACTCGTAATCAATCCACGTTTATGAATGCAGACTGCGGTAGTTTTAGCATGTTGAGGGAAACTTGATAATTTATTATTTCAACTAGCGACTCATCCTCACTTCGCTCGGGTTCGTCTCTAGGTACATCTTAACGGTTAGTATAAAATACAAATCTTTGAATTTCTCGGCTTTTCTGTACTATGGTATGCATGTATTATACATATAAACTTTTCTCTTGAATCACTCTATCTATTGCTGAAAACTGCATTAAAATCCATTGAGTAGTTTAAAAGATCTAAGCGAACAGACAGCGGAAGCGACTTCATTTTACACTATGTAAAGATAACTTTTCCGTTTACCGTGGAAACTCTGTTCGATTCCAGAGAGCTATCATTACGCCCATTGACATTAGTTTAACTTTGAATTGCATTTCTATTATTAGTGAGTTTTAAAAGATAGTATCTTTCCAATTTCTATTATTTTTCCTTTTTAATCTAAAAGACTGTAATAATGAACCATAAACCATGATAAAAAGTTTAATATAAAAAGACTATATTATGTATGTTGCCCTTTTGGTTAAAAAAACCACCATGATCCTCTGTTGCTGCGCGAAAGAAAATCGAAATAAAGCAACTAAAACGTACTTTCGCTTTATAATAATATTAAATGTGTGTTTTTGTGTTTAAGAAAATGTTCTGTAAGATTAGAAATGCACAATAAAAGGAATTTTCAATATAGAGTGACATGAATTGTGTACTATGATAGATGTTACGGCTTGTGATAGCATAATGTGAAGTATCCTTTGTATTGATCAAACAGATCTTTGCTATGGTGTACTTTAAGTATTCCCATAAACAAAAATAGTGTTTCTACTTACTCGTATCTGGAAAACTGAGAATATTTAATGAGATATATTTTAGTTAAGATTTTTCTCTTTGCTCAAAAATAAAAAATAAAAAATTATGAAACTAATAAATATATACATATTATTAACTTACACATATAGGTACTTATTATTAGTTTCCTTAATAATGTCTATTTTTTCCAAAAATCTAATAAATACGAAAAATTGCTACTTTTACATCGTAATTCTAAATAAATAAATATGGGACATACACTTTTTGCGCTAAACCGAATAGTTTTCGAAATTTTTAAGGAAAACTGATGAAAACGGCTAATTTACCAACTTATAACCTCCTCCCACCCTAAACCCGACGTTCAAAATGGTGTAACTTTTTACCAAACAATATGTGGACTGTATAGAACGATTTGGAGCTGAAAGGAAACTTATACTTTAAATGTTGAGGTTATGCTGAGGTTAGACTAATTGCACTGTACATTAAAGTAATTAATTCATTGTCTTAGATTAAGCCAATGTTTCTATTGAGTTCCTATTTAGATAGTCATTGAGATGTAATGTTAACGGTATCACAATTCCTTCACAAATTGATTACAGTGCGTTTTTTAGTCCAAAATTAAAAAAAGGATGCGATGCAAATCACAAGTAAAAATAAGAAGCGATTTTCAATTTGGGTACATGTTTTTAGCACTTACATATGTACAAACGTCGAAATCGGGAAAAAAATCACTCTTACTAGTGAAATAATCAATACATATAATAAAATTGTAACTAAGCCGAATCTGTAAATTAGATATTTTCTGGAAAATCTTATTGAAATAAACATTATTATCGATACAGAGGCCGAATCTATGGTTTTTAGAATTTTTGTCTGTCTGTCTGTTACCGCATCACAGAAAAACCATGGAGGGATTTTGATAAAATTTGGTATGATGATAGTTGGTTATCCGGGTCAACTTTTTACCGCGGGAAAATATCTTATTTCTGAGCAAAAATACAAAAACTGCATTGTAAGAGTATACTAAAATAATATGTAAAATCTAAGAATTCGGTTTTTGGTCATCTGAACGCAGGCAGAGCTGCGGGCAATGCGAATTACTTATAATAAGTTATTATTATTATTAGCACGCTTATTTGTATCCAGCGCGAACCTATATATTTAACCTACACATTTAAATTATTTAGTGATATCACAGAAGTTAATGATTCAATTTATTAAAATGAGTTAAATATTTGACATTTTAAATGAAACTATCTTTTCGTATATGGTTCACCACGTTTGCTATACTGCACTAGAAACATCGGGTTTAAAAACTCAACATTAAACTGCTAGAAAATGCGGAAAGATTCATTTAAAATAGGTACTTTTTAACTTTAACAGGTTTGAAGAAACGTCTGTGCAGACTCCAACGTGTCGATACAACAATGCTTCCTGTCTAGGAGGATTTCCTAGACTATATAAGAAAATTGAGGACTTACGTAAGGAGAAGCCAGATTCCATACTTTTGAATGCAGGCGATAGTTTTCAAGGCACATATTGGTATTCGCTTCTTAAATGGAACGTTACACAAGAATTCATGAATCTATTACCGCATGATGCTCACGTAAGTAAAGATGTGTAAAAAGCTGATTTTAAAGTAGGTATTTTATTTTGAGGATTCAATTTTCTCATGTATTTTTTCCTGTATGTATGTATGTATGTACCTATGTATGTGTGCATGCGTGTATGTTTGTGTGTCTGAATATGTGTATGTATGTATGTATGGCATGGGCCTCCCTTCAATACGAGGGGGATCAGGCCATAGTCCTCCACGCTGGCCAAGTGCGGGTTGGCGGACTTCACATGTCTTTCGAAAATTTGCGAGGTCCTCTCAGACATGCAGGTTTCCTCACCGTAAGGCAAGCGGTAATCAAATTAGAAGTGATTCGCACATGAAATAATCAAAGGTGCGAGACCCGGGATTTCACCTGCTTCACTCGGTTTCACAAGCGAGCGCGTTGTCATATTTATATTTATTTTATAATAATATAATAATCAACATAATGATGTTAGCATGTTGTGAAAATCACATATATGTAAAATATATTATTCAAGTTTATGTTTAAAAATTACTATAATCAATATATTTTATTGAAAACAAAGCTATAATTTTATAAAAGAACAGTGAATTGCAAGTAAGCAAAATTGCTTTATTCAAGCGTCTCTAGTGACTTTATATATTATTTTCCATCGATATTTTAGTATAATCCATCTATGAAGTATATGTGAGAAATCACGTCGGAACGTACGGAACCGTACCTACATCGTTGAAGGATAAACTAACAACCCATTTACAGTATTAGTAACGATAAGTATAATAGCAAACAAACAGCACATTTAAATAGTAATTAGTAGGTACTAGTAGGAGTGGGTTACTGAAATCTTAAAGAATTCAGGTAGACCATGACATTTTCATCAAAAATAGCACAGTAATTCTAGAAGGGATTCTTTAAGGAAAAAGCTATATGATTCCATTCCCACGCTGCAAAATTTTCAACGACTAAACAACATAATGACCAAGCTATTATGCACTTTACCGACGGATACATGTGATAGGTACATCTTGAAAGATTATTGTTGAATCATTTATTCATGTGGCCATGCACGTTTATTTACATACCTATAATTATGGCAAAGTAAGGAAAATGTGAAAAAATTAATTGTTTATGCTATTTTAGTTTGTATTCAAAAACTATGTATTCTATATGATAAATATTATAAGCAGCCTTGGTTTCGCTCTGGAGTAAGATAACACACAATAAAACATATACAATATATGTATATTATACATACATATTTCATATATATTTGTATTGGCATACACCGTAATACTTACTTTCTTGATATTAATATTGTCCTAAAAAATAGCATCGATCAAAAGTACTTTTTTGATCGATGTATAAAACAGTTATGTTTTTTTACTTTATCTTTTTAACCGACTTCCAAAAAGGAGGAGGTTCTCAATTCGTTGAAATCTTTTTTATGTCTGATATTTCTTTTTAAGTAAATAAAATCTTGATCCTCCTGTGAGCATGTTGTTAACTATGCTCTATCTAGCTCCCGGTTAAATTGCAAAGCCTAGTAAAATCTGGTAATGTCCCCGTAACTGGCGTCAGGGATTTAGACATGCTTACTATGACAGCACCCTGACCGTTCCCACTCGTTGTCCATCCTTTTGCGTGTTCTTTTTCTGTGGATTTCTAATAACTAAAGTTCTCGTAACTATGCCGGCACGGAAATTGTAGCGTTCCAATATTTGGAAAAGAACATCTGAGAAAAGTGGCAGCATTGAATCTTCACTCGATTCCCCTAACTTATTGAATATAATGGCCCTTCATTTCTCTACTGCCAAACGAGACTGAACTTCTAGGGAGGTCAGGTCGTCGATCGTTTAATGACTCGTCTTAAATTCGATATGTGCCTCTGACAGGCACTCACCTCCTTTAGACTTTAAGCAACAGTCTAATAATAACAGCTTTTTTTTTAATTTAACCTCAAAATACTTTGTTTATAGGCTATCGGAAACCATGAATTTGACGACGGCCCACAAGGCCTGGCGCCCTACCTCAGAGCTTTAAAGGCACCAGTTCTAGCTGCGAATATGGACACGAGTAAAGAGCCAATATTAAATGGGCTATACAGATCTCACGTGATAATTGAACGGAAGAAAAGGAGGATCGGTCTAATTGGACTCATTACTACTGATACTAAAGTAAGTCAGCTTGTATTTATATTATTATAAGTTGATGTCCATTTAAATTTGATTAAATACTTACTGTTTCTTTTTAATTTTAAGTATTTTTCATATATAAGGAAAACTCGTAAATGTGTGGTGCTGTCATCGATCAAAAAAGTAGTACATACACAATCCCATGCAAAAGTTGCGTTTAGGTAATTATTCTAGTAGAAATAAATATACAACAATGTAAATTGAACCTTAAATGATATGCTAAAAGTTGTTATCACAAAAACAACCGCGCTCATATGGGCGCTCATCCGGTGAGGACATTTTTTGTCGCTGATTGTGTACTTTTTTGATCGATGGGAGCTGTGGTCCATGCCTAGCTACGTACGCTTACAAAAGAAATTCTCCATTATAAAATTTTGAAATATATTTTTTATACTTCTTTTCGCACAAAAAAATAAAATTATAAAATGATTAGGTTTCAAGAAGCAGGAAAATAAAAGGTACTAAAAGTACTTTTATAAAATTACTTTACCGATATCGGGATCTCGTTGTCTTATCTAAAACTATCTAAGGAAGGCACTTGTTATTCTTAAATGTATCTATCTACCTGTTTCCAAATTTTCGATACACGAATATCGCTTATTGTAATCAAGCCAATTTTAGTAAACTAAAAGTTTTGATATTTTAGGATAAAGATGTGCGGATGCACAGACGTTTTTTTTGAGACTATTTGCCTCTTACAAACATATTATATTGACTCTTAAACTTCCAATTTTTTTCATAGAAAATATTCTTCTATACATGTAAAAAAATTGTAACTAAGCCGAATCTGTACATTAAATATTTTTTGGAAAATTTTAATGAAATAAACATTATTATCGATACAGAGGCTGAATCTATAGTTTTTAGAATTTTTGTCTGTCTGTCTGTCTGTCTGTTATCGCATCACAGAAAAACCACTGGAGGAATTTTGATGAAATTTGATATGGTGATAGCTGGTTCTCCAGGTCAATATATAGGATACTTTTTACCGCGGGAAAATGTCTCATTTCTGAGAAAAAAATACAAAAACTGCAATGTAAGATTATGCTAATATGTAAAACCTAAGAATTTGGTTTTTGGTCATCTGAACGCGGGCGAAGCCGCCGGCGATGCTAGTTTATTATAAATTGCATGTATTTCCTTTTACCGAATTCATATTATTTGTAATTTCATCTTTCAAAGATTTTTCTTCTCAGATCTTATCATCGTCTGGCAATGTCGAGTTTACTGATCCGCGCGAGGCGTTACGGAGAGAAGCTAAATTGTTAAATGAAAAAGGTGTTGACATCATCATTGTTTTGTCTCACTGTGGCCTTGACGTTGATAAGTAAGTATCGATAGAGACTGATAAAATAATCATATTATCATCGTCATTTATATGGAGAGAGTTTATCGCATGTTTTGGAGCGAGAAGTCGTATGCTATTTTAGTAGGCGATAATCTTGAGACGATAATCGCGTACTCATGTTTACATTCGGCCAAAAATCAAAAATTCACGTACCAGCTTGTCATACGATATTTGCAAGGTAATTATTGCCAAGCCTTTTGTTTAGCGCTATTTACATGGAGAAAGTTTATCGCGCGTTTTGGGCTGGGAAGTCGGCTATTATCGTAGGCGATAATCTTGAACGATAATCGCATACTCATGCTTACATTCAAATAAATAACATAAAAATGCCTACGAGTATGTCATACTATATTCGTATATAATTATTGCCAAGCGTTTTGTTTACACTACGAAACAAATCGCAATGAGATATTTGTACGATTTCTCGATTTAACTCGATCTCGTATGATATTTTTTTAAGTTCATGCGAGTATCGTACAAATCGATTTGAATGCGAGATTTGCCATTCGAAGTTTTAACAGTGTTGCCAATTTTGTACGAGCGGGTATATCTTGACGGATATTTGTGCCTTTTTTATATAGAAGGTCCAACTAGTGAAGTATGAAAAGTATAATATAGTAACATAAAACATATTTTAAATGTCTCTTCATCTTCTAGTTGCAATTCAAGACACAAAGTATTAGATGCTCCAAAAGTGTTTCTACTTTCTATACACATTTTAACCCAATATCTTTTTCTCCGCTTTCGTTTAGTTGATTCTTGTCTTAGAAGAGCAGAATTAATTATAATACCCTCGTGCACCACACTTTGCTTGCTTTTAAATTATGCTTTAGTGGCGCTAAGACACCTATTTTACATAATATATTTTTTACGGAAGAAATTCTCTCAATTGTCAAGTTACTATTAATCTAATTAAATCAAATATATTAAAAAACAAATGCAATCATATCATAATCCATTTCATATTTTAGAAGGACTAAGTCTAAACGTACAAACAGACAAACGACTTGCCTATTATTTATAGATAAGGTTAAATACTGTACACTGAAAGTAAAATGTACAAGGCATTTAAAGTATTATTTATTTTATATTTCATTTGATATATATAACAAGTACAGATACATAACAAGTAATGAACATTTTATCTATAACTTGATCTTTGTAAAATTAAAAAAAAAATCGTATACGATGGAATAATATAGATAAGTCAAGTAAGAAGATTTAGGAAATTGGAAAATTTAGTTGTTAGCATACTTAATATTTATTTAATGAAATATTGGCGTTGATTAATTACAGGGAATTGGCTCGGGACTACGGTAAATATGTAGATATAATAGTCGGCGGCCATACTCACTCTCTGCTATGGAATGGACCGGCACCAAGCGGTGAAAGTGTCGCAGGACCCTATCCGGTCTTTGTGCAACCCACTGCTAATAAAAATCATAAAGTAAGTAGAAATGGCTATATATCTAATGATCAAAAAGATTAATATACAATTTTGCCGGCTTCATTTTTGTATTGCGAAGAGGTCCGTGAGTAAAATTAGGTTTTTTACTATCGGATTAGGCTTTAGATGGCATATACTGCATGTAAACACCGCTGAACACCGCTTTGTCATCAATTTCCCGATTCCGGGCAATTATTAGAATTTCTTGATTTGACTTGAGAAAAATCCTATAACTATACTTAGCCCGACCCGGAAATCGAATCCAGGATCTTCGAATCTGCAGCTGTACATACTAGCCACTTTTTTTTTTTTTTTTAACGTTGGGAAATACATTTACGCACGACGTGTGGGACTCACCGGCGTAATACAGCCAGTACTACCCACTAAAACCCAACAAAACCTTCCCCCGTCTTAATGGGGCGTCGCAGGATCGCTTACGCATTCAACTACGACGCTCCGACGGCAGGTCTGCCGAAGCAGACCACAACAACCACGGGGTTGCTCCACAGTCCACTCTGCTATCAGAGAAGTACCAGGAGCAACCCGCATGGTACACCGCCCTCCGAAGAGGGCCACCTCCCACCGCCCACCGAAGTGGGCAACCTCCCTGTGCGTTTCTTGGCTTCGCGCCCGGTTGGGTTGCCGGGCACTACTGAGCCCCCCCACCACGACAAGGTGAACGCACGTTGGGGGGGTACATACTAGCCACTAGCTCAACTAGGCATTAAACATATTGTAGCTTTAAATGATTGTAGCAAATTCATTATATTAAGATATAAAGATAAATGAAAATCAGCAACAATACCGCATAATATACAAACAAACGCCCGGATTAAGAATCTCACTCATTTGTATATATTTAAAAATGTTTCAAAAATGTCCTAATCAACTTACAGGTCTTGATAGTCCAAGCCTCAGCATTCACTAAGTATATGGGCAACCTAATTGTGTACTTCGACTACCGCGGTGACTTCGTCAAATGGGAAGGCGGACCGATATTCTTAAACAGATCTTTGCCTGAAGGTAAGTTTTAAACCATCGACAATGTGTTTTTTACAATTGTCCACTGTAGACGTTGGTTTTATCTATTTTTGCTTACACAGTTAATTAAAAATATATACGTCTGGATTAAATATTTATTAGTGATACATACATAGAGTTAAAAAATTGTAGTTTTAAAATGGTAAAATATAATCTTATTTATCTTTGAGACACTAACGAGAAGAGAATGTAGAATATTAAACTTGTTTATTTTATTAACATATCAGGTAGGTACCTATATAAGTATGGATAATTTTATTTGTAGATTATTCTTGGTTTAGAAAAAAGTTACATTATTATTATCTATAGTTTAGAAATTCATTCGATAATATGTTAATATCATAAAAAATAATATATATTTTTTCTCACTTAGACTTATTTCTTGATGCCAATAACAGAATGTGTTATAATCGAACTATATCAGTAGTTCATTAGGTCATGATATGAATAAACGTTTAAGACCTTTGTGATCGTTAATTTCATTATTATCTCTAGACTTGATGGAGCCAATTATTTCTCGTTTTATATAATAACAAGCGATAGATATTTTAATTTTTTTGAGCGGAACCCTAATTCCTTTTCTAAAATAAAAGTAGCCTAAGTCACTCCTTATAATATCTACTATTTATCTACTACTTACTATCAGCTATTTGCCAGTGAAATTCCCGTCAAAATCAGTTCAGCCGTTTCGGAGATCAGCTAGAACAAACAGACAGACAAAAAATTTAAAATTGTGTTTTTCTTATGAGTATATATTTTCTTATGCATTTAGTAAAAAGCTGATGCTTGACATTACAAACAGACAATTCAATTTTATTTATCTCTATAGATATACGAGTATGTACACTATAATTTATAAATACCTTTTTAAAGTTTAACTAAAAAGAAATACCTATTTCAAATCACTGAAAGTTATCGTTATCATACACCTTTGGATTGTTTTTTTGTTCTTGAAATTAGTATGGGGCTATTCCTGAGGTTTATAGCCTATTTATTAAAGGCTGCCCTTCTTTGTACGCTGTAAATGAGTCCTCTCATAATATTTTAATATATTTCTTACTGACACTGCCTATAAAGTCACAGGTCACGGTTTTATATTATCATAACACTATACTGCTTTTTTTAAAGTTTTGTTATGATTTTTTTATACAACAAGAGTGGTTACACAAGAATAAGGAAAATTAACAAATCATAAGGAAAAAAGAACAATATGCACAGCGTAGCTAAAACGTGTTATCTTTACATTGGCACACACCCAAAACTTAACTATATAATATGTCAATTCTAGTTTTTAGACTTGATGAATGACATAAAACCTTAGATTAAGGAATAGTATAGATGGAATGTAATAGAATTAACATGAAGCCAAACAATATTTTTTTAAAACAGTATACAAATATTAATAGAATACTACATACTGTAACTGATTCCTATCTGTACATGAAAGAAATTTGAGAAAAACTATTATTGGGGGTCTTTATTAACGCAATAAAACCAAAAACAAAGATTTTTAGACATTTTGTCTGTTTGTCTGTGCGTTTATGCGCGCTAATCTCAGAAAGGGCTTAACCGATTTAAATACACTTTTCACTAATGTATTGTAGTAATCTTCACTTAATATTTAGTATTTGTTTTATTTCAATCGGTTCAAAAAGAAAAAAATAATTTTAAGAATCACCTAGAGACGAACTCGAGCGAAACGAGGGTACGTCGCTAGCAAGTAGTATAGTATTATTATAATCTGTGCTAGTAAGTAAATGAAATATAAAAATAGGTAACGGATAATAAAGAAAAAAAACTATTATTATGCTAGCTCTCTTTCAAGGGGAAGAGAACTAATGCTTTAATAAATTACGAAAAAATACGTGTAGTATTATTTTTGTTATTCATACGAGTACTTTTCTTTTTTTTTTAAATATTAATTTATCTTATACTTATAAAAAATTCCCTTATTCTTTCCACAAAGTAAACTATTTGTATGGCAAAATCGAGAATAGTTACATAAACAGCAAAAACACGCTACTATTTTTGACTTTGAAATTTGTATTGGCGGACTCCGTATATAATTCTTTAGCCTCAGCATATATAAATGTACTACTTTAGTTTCTCCGTTTTCATAGATGAAGACATCAAAGCTCGTCTCGCGCCTTACACTGAGATGGTCCATAAAGCTGAACAAGTACCTATAGGAGAGACTGTAACAACATTGAATTTTGAAGACTGCATGTACGGAGAATGCGCACTTGGTGATCTATTGGTAGATGGGATGACTGAATTTGTAAGTTTTGTTGTAGGAAATTAAAAAACTGACAGCTATATGCAAACATGACGTTACGTTTTAACGTATAGTGTAAATTTCTCAGAGATAAGATATTTTCTCGCAGTAAAAAGTATTTAAACCTTTAACGTTCTTGTTTAGAGTTATCTATAGAGAACTGAAAGGGTTGTAATAACAATACAGTTGAGTTTTATCTTATGAGAAGGCATTTTTGGAATAAAACGTTTTCACTGTATTATACATAACTTATTTCAGGGAAAATCTCAACACCCCGAGCTTCACTACATATCGCTTATCCAGCGCGGTAATATAAAATCAAGTATACTAAGCGGAAGTAAGTTTTATTTATCTATAAATAAATATAAAAAAGAAATTGATTAAATTATTATATTATTATTATTAAAGCACAACTTTAGCTCTTTTTCTACATCCTTTTTGCTAAGCTCACTTCATATAGGTATATTTATAAACAAAATTAAAATCTACTTTTTTAGAATTATCATCATTAAATTTGTATTTCCTTGAACCAAATAGCCATTAATTATATTAACTAATAATGTACATTAAGAAAATAACTTAAAAGTCATTTACATCTAGTTCTACATAGCTAGAATACAAGTATTCCTCTTTAAAGTAATTAGGCAAAAAAAACTTATATAGAAAGTCAAAAGTCGCTTCGCGGTTTGCATATTTTTGGAACTAACATATGTAATAACTTTATTTCCAGCAATAACTAAAGGCACTTTATTCGAGCTCCTACCGTTTAACGATCGCATCCAAAGTTTTGAAATGCAAGGAAAAGATATATTACTGGCGCTCGAACGCAGTGTGTCTGATGCGTGGGGCTACAATCCTTTCAAGGGACCTTATGTCTTACAAGTTTCAGGTAAATAATTTTTTTTATTGGTATTATGTGAGCTGTTCTTATAAATATGGAAGCTGTTGAATAAATGATATAATGAAGAAAATATTTATATTTTGTAAAATATCTTATATCTTTAAACGAGCAATTCTTGTATGTATATAATCTGAATCTCGGAAACGGCTCCAACGATTTTCATGAAATTTAGCATGCAGGGGCTTTCGGGGGTGATAGATCGTTCTAGATTAGTCTTATGTCTGAAAAACGCGTGTTTTAGAGTTTTCATACAGTTTTCTTTTGCATTATTCCACGCAATATATGGTCGGCAATTTGCATGCTCGGGCATAAGCATCGTGCCCAAGGTGCAATATCAACAATCACAGGTGTCCAGGTTCGAATCTCGGTCGCATACAAAGTTTTTACTTTTGTTTTTCTTTAAATATTTATTCAAGTATTTAGTTTTTTTTTTAATTGTACTCTAGGCCAAAACTCCGAGCGAGGAACAGTAGCCCAGGTACTATATCTTAAAATAAATAAAAAATATAATTTTATAGGTCTGCGAGTTACATACAATATATCTCTACCGGAGGGCCAAAGAGTCACTTCAGTGTTTGTTGGCAACAATAAATCAGATGTATCATTAGATCCTGAAGTATACTATCACTTGATCGTACCAGCTTATTTAGCTGATGGTGGCGATGGATTTACGGTAAGAAATGTTTTGATTTACATAATATTTATATGGAAAGACCCTTTCGGTATAGTGGGCTGTACATTATGTATTATGTATAATTCATTAAAAACCTTATGAAAATAAATTCACAGTTATTAGCGAAAACATCACATAAAATTGAATTAGATACCTTCTTGAAGTGGTTATTATTGAATGAGATGCATTTAATTTTTTAAATGAAGACATAAAGATAAAGTCACTAAAGTTTTTTTAACATCCCACTGCTGGCTGGGTATGGGCCACTCTTCTGAACGAGGGGGTAATTTCCATTTTTCAATTGTAATCAGCCCATTTTTAAAACGTCCCACTTCTAGGAATACGGTGAAGGATATAAAGTGCAAAAATAATTTTATTTCAGATGTTCAAAAATAGAAGAAACGTAAAAGTGATCGGGAAAGATCAGGCAGCTATTGAAAATTATATCAGAAAGCATTCCCCGTTAGACGTGTCTACAGACGGAAGGATTGTAATAGATGTATAAGACAGTGAGATGGAGATACAATTTCTTGTATTTTATGAATATATGCATTTTTTTACTATAGTTGTATTTCTTGTGCTAATAAATAATTTATTATAATTGTTTTTATTATTTTGTCTATACTCAGTATCAGAGAACTTGAGGAATGAACTAGGCTTAAATATTATTTTTATTTAACATGGAAGATAGCTGCACTGCACAAACAAACATACAATTGTGTAATGTTTCTAATAGTTTCGTGTCTGGTTGCCCAAAAGAAAATAAATAAATTCGAAAAGCAGACATCAGTATCCGATGGGGTAAATTCAGGCCCCTCTTTTCCATTGGGTATTCTGGGTAAGTGCCTAGGGCCCAGCGATCGACGGGGGCCTCAGCCTGCACTTAAAAAAATCATTCTATATATCCGCCGTTCCATTCTAAGCATTATTAGTACCCGATACAATGACAAAATAATAGATTTGCAGTGCGATTTACAATAAGTTCCTAGCCCCAAACTTATGAAATATTAGTATAATGTTTCTTTTATTGGTTTTATATAATTTAATTAGGTCCAATTGAATATTGAAAGAAATTTAATTTGACACGAACTGCGATAATGATAAAATTATTATCTAATTAGCACAATAAATTACAAGTCGAAAAACTTGTCCAAGGTAAACTAAATGCTAATGTTTTGTATTTAGTGACAGAAAAATGAGATAATTTTTTTACAATAACACATCAATTTGTTTATACACTCTGACTGATGGGGACAGTGCCCTGTATACTACGTGATAGGGAAAACAGACTATCTCACTACCCTATAGAGAATAAATTAACCTATAGGTACTACATATAGAGCTAACCCGACAATATATCCATGCGAATAGTAACGTGAGCGAAGTCGTTCTGCTCGATCAGCGATCCGCTGCCATTCTCTTGCCGCCCCGCAGCCCCCGCTCCTAAAACTACGCGACGCATTTTTCATGCACTAATGTCAGGCGCAACCTTGCCTTCAACATTGACACAAAGAGTAAACCTGTCCATGAGCATTCTCCTTTTTTGCTATTATTGTATGAAAAAAATGAATTAAGGGAACGTACTCATACTACGTGACCTGTTTAGATGAGGTTCTTTGGTCTTCATCACGTAGTTAATATCATCTTGGGATCATCATCTAGCGCTTTATAAAATCACAGATGACAACACTAGCGTACGCGCATATATGTCGGGACGTTCGCTGACTTAAAATTGGCAGTTTTTGTACTCAGCCAGTGGTAGTGTGCTTATATAATAGTATTTTATTTGTAGTAAAAAAGTCGGGTTTCAATATATATATTTTTTTATTGTAATAGTTCAAATTTGTCTGCTCACTCCTTCAAAGCTTTCTCATAGTACAAAAATTATAGAAACTGATTGACGATATTGCTTATGTGAAAACTAGAAGGCTAAAAATAATAATCATAGAATTTTAAGCACTAACCTGTGAATGATATTACAATCATTTTTTTCCGAATCATATTACAATTCATTCATTTCATACCATTCATTCATTTACTGTGATCGTGAAGAAAAAAAATGTTGAATAATTTTAGAATTTTGCTTATCTACACAGTGGTCTGTAATCTTTATTTATTCTTGTTCAATTTTTATTGCTGTAATCTGTACTTAATAAAATAAAAAAATAAATAAAAAAGCACTGTAATATTAAACTTGTTACCGTTTTTACAATATTGCAACAATAAATAAAACCTAAAATACATTTTACCTTTTTGTTTTTTTTATTATCTGTTAGAATATCTACTTCTTCTTCCTCGTTCCCTCATTGATGAGGATCGTGACCACTTATGATTTTTTTCCAGTCAGTTCGGTTCAACGATGCCTGGACTGCGGTATGGAGAGTAGCGCCCACTGCCTTCTTTATCGCGTCCGACCACCTTATAGGTGCCCTTCCTCTTGCGCGTTTACCTTCAATTTGGCCTAAGATTATAAGTTTCTCTAGACTATGCTTGGATGATCGCATAATATGTCCAAAAAAACTTAGGGCTCTTTTTTGACAGACAGTGGAGAGCCGCTCCGTGATCTTAAGTTCGGCAAGAATAGATATATTCGTTCTTTTAGCGGTCCACGGTACGCGCAACAGCCTACGCCAGCACCACATTTCAAACGCATCAATTTTCTTGATATCGTGGCTCTTGATGCACCAAGTTTCAGCACCATACAAAAATATGGAAAAGACTAGGGCTCTTACCAGCCGCACTTTTGTCATGCGTTTTATACCACGATTCTTCCATATTTTGTCGAGTGTTGCCATCGCCTTTTTGGCCATTCCAGCTCGCCGGCAGATTTCACCTGTACAACTGCCATCGTTGGATATCAATGAGCCTAGATAAATGAACTGTTTGACTTTTTCGTACTCTTTGAGTGCGTCATCAGGCTGAAGGAGTTGAGCGCGATCTATTACCATAACTTTGGTCTTCGTTTTGTTGACTTTAAGACCTAGCTTGGCACTCTCTACTTCAATTTTCTTAAGTAGTGTTGCCATTTCCGATTCATTCGTTGCCAATATGGTCGTATCATCTATATCTACTACATGATACAAAATCATATTTTTTAATATAAGAGATATGAACGACCAATGGTGTATGTTTAGTAGTAAGCCTCACCCAAAATCTAATTGTACGAGGTGTCAAAAATTGATACATTTCAGAATAATCCTTAACAAATTTAATATAATGTCGTCATAAAAATGAAAGCTTCATTCCCCTTTTTATCTTGTGCCTCACAGTGGGACTATTTCCGTTTTTTAATCCAGCTCGAGAGATGTGCTAAAAGCGTTATTGTGAGCATAACTCCATTATTGCATCCTTTTATCCTCGTTCTCAAAGAAAGTGCTTTATTTTAGCGTTTCGTACCGTTTGTTCAAATATCTCTGCCGGGTTTCATAATATATGTATTTATTTTTATTTTAAAGTATCTTTATTTAATCAATATAAATCAATAAATTGAAACATTATTATAAACATTCTAGTGTAAGTTTAATCCTAGACGTAAATATTATATCCATATCTATATTAATATTATAAATGTGAAAGTGTGTTTTTTTGTTTGTTTGTTTGTTTGTTTGTTTGTTTGTTTGTTTGTTTGTTTGTTTGTTTGTTTGTTTGTTTCTTTGTTTGTTTGTTTGTTTGTTTGTTTGTTTGTTTGTTTGTTTGTCTGTCCTTCTTTAACGTCTAAACGGAGTGATGGATTTGCATGATTTTTTCTGTGAAGTTAGTTGGCAGGCTGGAGAGTGACATATGCTACTTTTTACTGCGGAAGATTACCTCATTCCCACGCGAAAACAATAAGACAACCCAAAAAATTATTTATGACCAGAACTACTTGAAATATAGTATTGATGCTCTTTAAAACAATTAAATAAATACGTGTTTTAGCATTTTCGAAATTCATTCCATAAGGGGGTAAAATAGTCGATGAAAATTAGTATGAAACCTAACTTATTAGAGTTTTTTTGTAGTTTAGCGTGAACGACGCCGCGGGTTCTGCTAGTATTATTATATTTGCTTAACAAGTACACAGGTATATAAATAAAACTTTCAGCAAACGGTAACACGTAGATATAAATAACTATTTTACTAATAATTACACAGTATCATTTAAAGTATGCAGACGAAAAAGTAAATTAAAATATGTATAGAAAATCGATTATTTTTATAACTCGTAATATATTGGTGCCTATAAAATAAATAGAACTGATCAGTTTTCGCTACGCTATTATGGCTTATTAGTTATGGCTACGCTCGAATGGTAGATACATTGATGGCATATAGCTGAGAAATTAACTATGAATCAAAAACTTCCTTTACTACCAGAAAGTTAGTTAATGAAAACTTTTTTTTAACGTTGGGAAATGCATTTACGTACGAGGTGTGGGATTCACCGGCAAAGCCAGTACTACCCACTAAAACCCAACCAAGCCTTCCCCCGTCTCAATGGGGCGTCGCAGGATCGCTTACGCATTCAACTACGACGCCCCGACGGCAGGTCTGCCGAAGCAGATCACAACAACCACGGGTTGCTCCAAGGTCCACTCTGCTATCAGAGAAGTACCAGGAGCAACCTGCATGGTACACCGCCCTCCGAAGAGAGCCGCTTCCCACCGCCCACCGAAGTGGGCCACCTCCCTGTGCGTTTCTTGGCTTCGCGCTCGGCTGTATTGCCGGGCACTACTGAGCCCCCCCTCCACGATAAGGTGAACGCACGTTGGGGGGAGTTAATGAAAACTAATATAGGATTATGTTAAGCTAAAATAGGTAAAGGAACAAAATAAGAGGACCGAACAAGAAAAGCGATGACAGCTGTGTTATTATTAATAATTAAAATAAATTAACAATTTAAAAAACCCCCTACGCAAATTAATCGTCATTTAACGATTACACTGGCACGCGTGAAGCACTTAACCGAGTAATCATACGCCAAAATGCCTTACATCATTTTGGAAAAGAACTCTTACACTGGTGGACCAATATTAACCAAACATAGCTAAGAACTACTGCAAGGAAACTGGCTTTCAAATGAAAACAACCGCATCGAAATCGGTCCATCCGTTTGAGAGCTACGATGCCACAGGCAGACACACATCCACACACAGACAGACATCGACGGCAAACTTATAAGTTATAACACCCCTCTTTTTGGGTCCGGGGTTAAAAATAGTATGTATAGAATCAAGGAGGTTAGCTTTATTTATATATATAATATACATCACATATATAAACCACTGCGTTCATATTTCAACATAGTGAAGGAAATTTTCAAATCATTTGGTCGATCAGAGATCATCCCCTATAGTTAGGTGAGTTAGTATAAAAAAAACTTTTGTGTCTTTATTGTAGTTAAAGTAGTTAACCCTCTGGGATTTACATTGTTCTGTCGGCGATGAAATATTAGCTTAAATATCAATTTCCATATTTCTAACTTCAAAAGTTTCAAACTTACATATAAACTTTTGTCCTCTA